ACGTTAGAAAGTTGTCGATATTATGGTGCCGATAGCAGGTGGCCGATAGATCGCAACTATACACGTACGATTAGGTAGTTTAACTACGAGACGGTTGGCATCAAGGAGAGGTGGTTCTTCGACATCGGCAATAATTTAAGTCACTAACACATACCACGACTCCCTCGTTTTGTGTATTGCAATTCAAAGTATAATAACATTTATAGTTTTGGAGAGCTGGTGGGTTTGAATTGCCTTTCAGCCTGCATTCTGATAATACTACTATATCGGTATTAAAATTTAGGCTTGTTAATGAGACTTCCATTTGATTTATATTACGATTAATGCTTCGAATATTTTGGGATACTACTATTAAGCGATTATTGTGAGAGAAATGGGTATTAACATCTTCAACATCACAAATGCAAGACGTGGCTGGGGTGTAACAGTCAATGCTATTTAAAATGTCATCGTTTGAAGTGAATTGGTCGATAGTTATTATGGGGTTTATTCAGTGACAAAAATATATTATTTAGTACTAATGTTTTGTATGATACGTGACTTAATGTTATATTTTTAAACGGCAATATATAATATAGTACAATAATTTTTATTAAGATAGTTGTGTGTGTGAGGTTTTTGACTTGGTAGATTGCAAATACATTTTTAATTAGATGAGTCTGTGATGATGTGTAAATGGTGTGTGTATGTGTATAAAGTGTATGTGTGTAATTTAGATACTTATAATGTACGTACTTTTTAATTACTACATTTTTAAAAAAGAAAGTCATTTTAAATTTTAAATGAAGAGCATGACTGAACAAGTTGAGCACAGACAGATAAGCTAGTCATTGCTTCATATTAAGTGATGTAAGGTCCGCTTCAGATAAAAGAACTATTTCCATAGTAGTGTGCCTACTGCACTGAGAGACTGTGTATGCGACGCTGTTTACATGTTAAAAGTAATAATCGTTACTATTAAGAGTCGATACTACCTCAGCTCGAATTAAATTTTTTCCCGTACTAATACGGTTCATTTTGCTTGGGTCGTGCGGCAAGGACGCTGGCTTTAGTTTCAGAATCTATTTTTTTACAAACGAAGGTAAAGCTAATTGAAAAATGTATATCGTATACTACACGTGTTCTATTTAGTACAGTTAGTAAAAAAAAATTATTTGGATAATCATGACATACCTATTGAATACAGCGGTTTTCTTGTAAAATTTCGAGGTAAGTTTGTGATTTTTTGTATCGTGTTTTCACACCATATACTACTCACTGTATCAATTTTACTATATATTTTTTTCCAAAGTGATTGATTCAACTCTTTCAGTGTTATGCGGAATCAAATCGAATCGAAAGCCATTTGGGGTTGTATGGACTCTTAATGTCAACTCATAGTACTCATACTACATACTCTACCGTAATAATCACTGAAATCGAAAAAGGACAATAATCAGAGAATAAATAATCACGAAAAAAAGCGCCGCCGCCGTCGGCGTACATCTCGAATAGCAACTAACGTGTTAACTTGAAAGAGCATTAGTCCTACACAGGACAAGTCTTAGGTTGATGTAATGGAGGTAGTAGCAATGGTATAAGGAGATATGAGAAGGTATATTTACCTTATGTAATTGCAGTATATAGCCCAAACTAGCCGTTTTCCCTGTCCCTGGTTGTCCAGAAATGTACAGAGATGCAGATTCTTCTGACTCCATGTGCTCGGTTAAAAAATTGTCTAACCACTCAATCTCTGTCTCCCGACTTGTTAAAGGCTTTGGTGTTTGAGCATTTGGTGTACTGAAAAATTATGGGATAGGATGCATAATCGGTACCAATTGACAAGTAAATTTTAATAAGGCAGATCGAAAAGAGGTTAGTGACGATTCATATGTATATACACGGGGACATAGTGAAGCTAATAACACTGAAAAATGTGGGAAACAAAAAACCCTATGGTTTCACAGGTGTAGTAACAAAAAGTAATAATGACACTGTAACATGTACATTTTCAAATTTCAAATGTAGGCAGTCTGTATATTGGCATAGAATATCTTTCAATTATATTCTGAAAAATAAATTAAATTAAAAGGTATAATTATTAATACAAAGATCGAACCGGGGTCTGCTGGTTCGTTCCGTGGCTTAGTTGGTATAACGTCAGCCACGGTATGCTAGAAGACATCGGTTCGAATCCGGCCGGATCGAAGGAATTTTTTCTGAGTGTTCGATCTTTGTATTATTAATTATAACAAACTAGTGGAGTAATTTGACAAATATAATTGAATATCAATTCAATAAAAATTTAAAAGGTATAGTCACTGGAAATCTTTACCTAAAAGTAGGCACCCTATATATTGGCACAGAATATGTTGGAATTATATTCTGAAAAATAAATAAAATTAAAAGGTATAGTTACTGGAAATCTTTACCTATTCTTTACAGATTCTTTCTTTAATCTCCCTTTCGAATCGTTTTCCTTCTCTTCAGTTAAAAGATCCTTTGTTGTTTTTGGTGGAGAACATGAATCTGACAAATACAAAAACAATTATATTCAAAAACTCAGGATCGGTATGCTATAGTCCATTTGTTTAAGTACTTAACTAAACGTAAACAATTTTGATTTGTCTATTTAATGAAATATACATTTATAAATTATAAAATTTTTACTTACCTTCAAATACAAATATTTAGCTTCCTTTGAAATTGCATGCCTATTTTTATACCTATCGATTTGTAATGTATATGTTTCAATAAAAAGAAGTAACAAGATTGTTTACATTTGGTTAAGTACATAAACAAATGGACTATAATAATTGTACTGTTGAAAACGATCTTTACCGCCCAATTACACGAGGAGAAAATTTCGCACGGTCAAAATCGAAAAAGAAAATCGCCTCCAGTGCAACGGAACAAGATACGTCAATGTGTAGCTTGATGTGCTGTTGTACATTAATGGCGAATCTGAATTCTATTTACTAGGCAACGACATTTAAATTCCTCTGAATAATAATACAACCGCTTCGTCGCCGTGCGTCCGCCGCGTAGACCAAATTCAAGACACTCGCCCGCGTGCCCGGGACGCTCATTTAAGTTAAGTGCGACAATACATGTCCGTTTTTTCCATCCGGTAGTCAGATCCGACTACCGGAAGGCGCTCGTACCATATAATTGTATGAACACTCAATACTCAATGTGGCACCCGAGTCGGAAATAGGGTCCGATTTTATTACCGATCCGATTGTCTGAAGGCGCGCCCTCTATACTTTTGCGGGGAGACGAAATACACGTCGATTCTTCCCTCCGATTTGCAGCATTGGCAATGCAAATTACTCAAAATCCTCAAAAATCAAAGTTATAAATTTGGGGAGAGCAAAGGTCATAATTTCCATTCCCACGTGTAATAATATTTATTCATTCTCAGTATTTATTATATTATTATTGTTATGCTTAAAAACATGTCAAATAATTAAGAAAAGTCAGAATGTACCCATCTATTACATATACGTTATGCTATAATTAGAAATAAACTCAACAAGTTGAATTAATTTTAAACCTTACTAATTAAGCTTGATGAGTGGCAGTAAGGTCCATCCATACACATCCGGGCCGTGCCCGGGACATGGGCGGGCCGTGCTCCGTCAGGGGCTCAAAAAAATATCGTTGCGTTTATTTTGTATGAACTCGTTCACACATGTCCGTGTCCAGACTGGCGCCGGGACGGACCCTCAGTTCATACAAACTAGCACGCCCCGTCCACGTCCCGGGCACGGCCCTGATGTGTGTGGATAGTCCTTTGAAATACCTACTGCTCGACTTTGTTCAGCAACAGCTGTATTCTTTTTTCACACCGGGGCCGGTAAAAACGAGGAAAGGTAGCGCGCTCAACACGCACAGACTGACCATCATCATCCTATTTACGAGCCAGGCTCTTGTCGGTGACTGATAACAGTAATTTTACAATTCAAGACCAAGTGATTCTAATCCTACTGGATAATTTTATACATATAAGCGGTTTGCTAATAATTCTAATATTATTTCTAATAATATTTTCGCCACATGGCGTAATCCAAACAAAATCCCCAAACGAGTTGTTGAGTTGAAATTCCCTGTATTTGGGGAGTTCCCCGTAAATTGGCAACACTGCAGTTAGTTCAGAAAGTCTGACGTAAGAATCGGACGTGTATTGAGTGAATCCGATCAGATAGTTGGATCCGACCATCAGACACGAAATCGGACGTGTATTACCGCACTAAACTAAATAAATACAGCTTATTTTGACACGACATTTATATGCACGCGGTCGCTGCGCGGCGACAACGCGGACTCCGCTCGGCGACCGCGATGAAATTCGTGTCAAATAAATGCGCCCTTAGTAATTAATTTAAACAAGTTGCAAGGTTTTTATTACGTGACTTACCGTTATGAAAATCACTTTCATCATTACAGTCACGATCTTCAATGTGTCTTTTCAATTTATTCGTTTTCCTCAGTTCTCTGGTATTTAAAATATTTACATTTTCTACGTTAACTTTACCTTTCGCGTTCCTAGCATAAGCATTTTTGCGGGATTTAAAAGGAATCGTCGTCTGAACTGCAGCCATCTAAATAAAACAAACAAATTCAGGAGTCATTGTGCGACAAAATTGTTACATGTTGATTATTAAATTAGTACCTTGTTGTACAGTACGTACATAACACAAGATTGCAAAAAGTTAAAAAAAAACAATCTTTAGTACTTACAGTTTATTTTCAGATTCATCTTATTAGTAAACAGAGGCAAATATGGAAATATTTTCAGAGTTAAATACTGTGTAAAAATTCTTACTAATATTCCCAAACTTGTCAATTGGTATTATTTTAATTTCATTACTTAAGTAGAACAGACATCTTAGGGAAATTAATCATGAATACAGACGTCATTTTAAGAAATTAACAGTAACTATACAGATCAACTTCTTCAACTTAAGAATACAGATAAAATTGATAAAATCATACAAAGTATGCACTTGATAAACTTGATTTCCAGGCATTTTTAAAATAAATATTCAATGTACCAAAGTAGCAATCACAAATCACACTACTAATATAATTAGTCCTACAAGATAAATAATATTAGTAAAAAATAATCCAATTTCAAAGGCAATGAACTGAAATCCTAACCTAATGATTATTATAACCTAGCTGTGTACTTTCAGCAAACAAGTAAGTACAAAATTAAGTACATACATAAGTATGTAACTTTTGAAAACATAATTTACTAAACAAAAATCATTTAAACAGTTAAACAAAAACAACATTCTTAAAGGCTGCTTGCTGTCAAAGAAAACTTAAATAAACTACTTATTTCAGTCCTTATACATGGTAAGATGTATGATTAAATGCTTGGATGTAATTAGTATAGCATGTATTTTGTGTCTCCAATTTGTTATATAAGTCATTACAGAAAACAGGCGAGAAAATGTAAACCATCGCTCTACGAACAGACAACTTATAAAATTTACTTGTCTGCTTGTTATCTTCCTTATACATTCTTCCGACCTCTTTTCTTATATCGTCAGTCCGTTGGTATATAACTATCTATCTGTCAACAAGTGTAAGATTTGAATACTCTTACAATGTGAATTTTTCCAGATCACCTATAACCTAAATTGCCAAAATCAGGAGCTCTTATTACATATCCCTGCATAGTGGTCTCCTAAAGCCATAACAAAAAAAGGTACTCTTCCAAAGAATTTTATGCATATTGAAATTCTTCACACAAAACTTGCAAGTGATGTTGAAGCATCAAATTTAAATCAAGAGACAAATGGATTCATAGAAAAATATACAATTACTTATAGAATCTCTCAGTTCTAGCTTAGAATTATTATATTGAATAAAAAAGCAATGCAAATTCTTTTTATCAGTGGAAAAACGTGTTAAAATATTTCTTAGTTCTGTTAATGTCGTATTATTGGACTATTGTTTGTACCGAATAAGTAGAACAATATTATTTCGATAACCTTTAATCCCACTAGTGGGGCCAACCTGTGGGGCCTGGAATCCTAAAGGTTTTCGCCAAATTAGCGATTGACTGCATTGTTTCAAGAGCCTTTGTTAAATGCGGGCTTAATTGACTTGGAATATTATGTGGTGTTGTCAAATCAAGGGCAGTGCTAGGTTTATTTTCAGGATTTGGCATATGAGTGTTTTGATTGGGCTTACTAATAGAACTACCAGGTTTGTTAACAGTATTAAATGATTTTGGAGTAGCCGGTACTAGCTTTGGTACTTGTCCTTTTGATTTTGGTAATTTAGGTTGTGGAGAAGACAAGTCAAGGGCTGTACTAGGTTTACTCTCAGGATTTGAGGCAGGAGCACTTGGACCAGGTTTACTAGTAGAGCTACCAAGCTTGCTTACAGCACCAAATGCTTTAGGTGTGGCTGGCATCAGTTTTGGCACTTGACCCTTTGCTGTTGGTAATTTGGGTTTTTTATCAGACTGTAAAGATTGCAATTGCTTTTCAAAAGTTTGTTGAAATGTAATAGGCGATGCATAGTTTCCAGACGATTTACCCAGTTTTGTATCTGCTATGGGTTTCAAATTTGGTATTGGTCCTTTGGCAGACGATTCAAATGTTTTGGGTGGCAGCTTCGGTTGATTTGGAAGTCCATCAGCTCTGTTCGGAGCAGCAGCCCGTGTATCACCCACATTCTCTAGTTTAGTTTGTTTTTTAGGGTCATTGTCCGGCAATTTTAAAATCTCTATATAATTGTGCACAGGGGGGCTTGGTACTTTATGTGTGCTACCATTATTGGCACCAGCAAGGTTCTTATTTACAACATTATTTTTTAAATCTGTACTAGTTGATTCCACTGGATTACGTGGATCTAACTTCTGATCTGTCAATGTGATAGAGAGTGATGACGGAATATTTATTTTACAAGAATCAAATAAAGATTTCAAAGGATCTCCTGATGATGATGGTTGACCAGTGTTATGAACCTTTACGTGAGACAAAATTTTGCTCCTATCCATAGTTGGATCACAATTGTTAGCCAATAGATCCATTCTAACTTTATTTACAGGCTGACTTTTGTTTTGAGATGGCAAAGATGTTAGAATACTAGGCTTTAAATCAGGAATTTTCTTAACTGTGGGTTTTGAAACTTCTGTAACTTTAGAGCTTACATTAGATGTAGACGGTGATGTTGATTGTGCCTCTTGCAATTTTGGCATTTGTAATTTTAATGGAGTGACGGATTTCTGGGTCACAGGAGACTGAGTAGGTGTAGTTGATGTGGTTGTCTCAATGGGTCTACGTTTTGGTGATGTGGTATGAGGGACAGTAACAGGCCTTTTCATTCCTGGGCTGTCTGGTAGTGGAATCTGCTTTCCAGGAGATGCTACATGTGGTTTAATATCTTTCATTGGCGTTAAAACTGGTGCTAATACTTTATTTGTTGAAGGTGGCACTGTGGAATGTTTGATACTGCTATATTCTTTTGTTTTTCCAGTTGAATGTGAATTATGTGATTGTGGGGTTGTTAATTCTGTACTTTTGGCAGTTTCTGCTATGCTTTCTGTATTCTTGTTATTTATTATGGTAGACTTAGAAGATGGACTAGTATTAGTTGATATAGTAGAGTTACTTGCTAATTCAGGCATCTTTGTCTTTTCCAATTCAATTTTGATTTTCTTTATTTCTGGCAAGTTAGGTGATTTCTCATGTTTTCTCTTCAAGATGTCATCAGTCTTTGTAGAACTTGGAATTTTAGCAGTAACTTCAGTCACATTAGAAATAGGTTCTGTCTTAGATGGTGAAGATTTTGTTGGAGTAGTGTTCTTAGCTGTAAGTTCAAACGAGTTCAAGAATTGTGATTTTTCAACATCTTCCTCATTTTTCTTGTTGGATGGTGAAGAAACAGTATTACTATTTACTATCACATCTTGTTCATTGGTAGACTTAGTTACCTTATCAGATTTCTCAATATTTTTATCAACTTGCTTAGAACTTTCATCAGGCATAGGACTGTCAGTTCCTGATGAGGCCTCCGAGCCCTGGTCATTCAAATTTGGAGCAGTACTACTTACATCGTCAAAAGGAGGATTTGGCTTTCGGTTTTGGAAATGTGAACCTTTTCTATTGATATCAAATAATCTATTACGAATAGCCACATAATCAATTATTTGGTAGAAAAATCTCATGGGTTCATTTCTTTTCCAGTTGTAAATATAAGCTATATCCATTAATGTGTAATAATCAGGTAATGGTACTCTCTTGTAGAGTATATCAATAGCAAATTGAGTACTGTCAATATCATACTTCATACAAATAAATTTCTTCAAATGGCTAATGTTTACGACTGCTGGACATTGTAAGTATCTCCTTGCTATATTTGATGAAAGCTGAGACTCATTGCTGTCTGAGGATTTGCTGGAAATACTGTCATTATCAGTAGTAGCATCAGCATATTCTAAAGAAAATGATATAACATCTTCTGGACTAAAGATGATCCTTTCAGTATCTTCACCTCTCTGTTCAGGTGTTGCTGTTGCAGCTGGACCAGGTCGAGAAGCATAAAATTTTTGGCGTCTTTCCATTTCCTTCTGGAAAAGACCTGGCACGAGTTTGTACACAATATCTTGAAGAGCTTTATCTAACTTAATATTGGGTTTAGAAGAGTTAATCATCATTTCGCATACTGGACAATAACTATTGTTTCTATTGACCTGCAAATACTTTATGATGCAGCTTCGGCAGAACGAATGTAAACACTCGACTATGGTCGTGGCGTCGATGTAGTAACCACGGCATATAGGACATGTAATATGAACATTTATATCTCCTAACAAAGTTCTTTGGGGCACCACAACACTGTTGTTTTGCTCAGCCATCTTGACGACTTTTTTATCGGGCAATTTATTAGACGTAACCATTTTTACAGAAGCATGTCCGTAAGAACTTAAACAAAATGTCTAACGAAGTCTGTTAGCAACACTGCAACTTGATAAAAACGCATTATATCCGCACTATTTGCGATTTGAAGAATCACATTGAAACAATACTAAATAACTCAGTAGACAATAAAAATTTCTGTGCGATAAACCCGAAACAATCAATAAAATTACGAAGTAACTCCGCAACAAAAGATGACGGGCGACATATTATCAATTTATTATGTTGGTGGCACTGGGGCTGAATTTTGCTTTTGAATATTTATTATTAAATTTAATGAAATCTTTACTTAACATTTAATAATATTTTGTAATTAGGAGGTAGCTTACCTTCTAGTGCTCGTTTTAATGTATTTTTACTTATTAATGGTTTACTATTCCACAAAAGCACCCTAAAACACCACAGTATTTTGGCGCGAATACATCGCTATCAAAACCAGAGAGCGACCAGCTGTCGTCTGCGTCACAGTTGTCAAATCAATTCAAACATTCAAAACCATAACCAATTTTGTATTTTATTTGGTGGTTTTGGCTGAATATAAGTCCTTTAAGCCACGTCTTCGTTTAATTATCGGGATCCTCAGTAATATTTTCCATTGCAGTTCCAGTCAGTTGTAAAAACCGTACTCGAAACTTCAAAAACCCGCCATTTTCACAATTTGAATAATACACACAATAAATTGGGGTAAAGGTGCACTCAACTCGACTTAGTAAAAATAAAATACAAATTTAATTAAATTTTGACTCCCAAAAAACAGAGCCAAAAAAGTTACTGGCTGACTTTAATTATAAATGGTAAGGTAAAAAGACGATAAAAGTTTAAAAGCAAAACTAGGATTTTAAAAATTATTATTTAATTATGTGACATGTATGTTGATTAGAGCGCCAACGGTGCTGTGTTCTCAAACCTGTTTTAAGATTATTAATTAACCGATTTTTTTGGTTTATTACTGATACGAGGACTATCCTGAAATTTCACAATTTCTAAGAATACTTTCTTGTCGTTTGAATATGCTCATATACTTATCTCATGAAAATAAAATATCGAAATAGACTGTCTGTTGAATATGATGTACGTACAATACGACAATTAATGAAGATAATTGTTATGGCGTCATTACCAAATAATATTAATACGGTGAACCTAAACATACACAAAAATATTTTTTTCTATACTATAAGATTTTTGTTGTTGTTGTACACTTACAAACAAATTATTCTGTTCGTAATAGATGCCTCGATTTAAATTTTACGATGATTTAAACAATATGGTACAGAGATGACAGAGAGACTGATATCCGTCTAAAACATTTACAGATACCGTCAAGTAAGTAATACTCAATTAGGATGGATGTGGGCAGCACAAGACTGGGAGAGTTGACATGCTCAAGGGGAGGCTTATGTCCGGCAGTGGATGCGTGTAAGCTGATGATGAAGTAATGTTCGACTACATTAAAAGATGCATGATGCGAATGAACCTTCATACTTGGCATTGTCTTTTGATTTGGTCAAGTAGGTATTACTTATTTGACAGTAATGGTTTCGGACGGATGTCGGACGGAGAAAGGGAGTAGAGTAGACCCCCAGATTGTCTTGAGAGCATGTGAGCTGACATGCTATTAGCGAGTCACTGTATCAATGTAAATTAAACATAAAATTTTATGCAGCGTTTAGATCGCGTTACCACGATCCGCCGCGCAATGCAGGATTATGAATGTAGTCGTAGCGAGCAAGCTATCCTACAATCCTGTAAATCCTGCAATGCGTTTTGCATATTATAACTGCTGAGTATTATTCCTATATTACTAACCACTCGAGATGTCATTGTTGTAATCTAATTAAATCAGGATTCATGAGAATAATAAAAGAATAGCTTGAAGATGTCGGATGTATAATAATATATTATTATTTATTGTAAAAACATTGAAAAACAATCGACGTGCATCAACCGACTCTTACGGTCGTATTCCAGAACTGTACTCAATGCTCAAGTCAGGATTTGAGCAGACTTGAGTATGATTTCAAGCACTGGAAATATGACCCTAATGGCAAGGACTTGAGTATGATTTTCAGTGCTCACTGCAATAATTGCAATATTGCAAGTCCTGACTTGAGTATTGAGTAGAGTTCTGGAATACGACTCTAAAGGGTCATATTCTAGAACTCTACTCAATGCGCAAGTCAGGATTGCACTGGAAACACAAGCACTGGAAATACGACCCTAACAGCAGGGACTTGAGTATGATTTCGAGTGCTTTAAACCATACTGAAATCCTGACTTGAGCATTGAGTAGAGTTCTAGAATATGACCCTAAGAGAGGCTACGTACAAGTACGAGACGCGTGTTGCATAAACCAACATTATATTAATAGTTATCAACAGACGAAACTAACGAATTGAACCCATTTTAAAGTTGTTATGGCAACACTAAAATCAATTTGCTGTAAGTTGGTACAATGTAGATAAAAGTTGCCAATTCATTGAATTATTCACAAAAAAAATTGTAATTTTAGAATTTATATGGCGTCAACATCGTGTTTATCTTAAACATAAAAGTTCTATTAAAGTTGTTGGTGTTGTCGAGTATCGCTACCAAAACGTTTTTAAAGGTGGCAATAATAAGCAATTCATGCAACTTTGCCAATTCCAATTGTTCAAATCCTCAAAAATCAAGGATAAAATCCCCAAATTTGGGGAGAACAAAGTTCATATTCCCCACATCTCGAGTTTTTATTATTACAGATACATCGCTTAAAAATATAATAAAGAATTAAGAAACTCAAAGGTAACCATCTATTGCGTTTGCTGTGAATGTAAACAGAATGTAAAACGTAAAACAAATTATAATAGTAGATGACCTTAAGTCGTTTATTTATTTTAACGAGATTTAACATTAATCAAACTTTGAAAAAAAAAAAACACTAAAAAACACTCTTCTTTGCCGTACAAAATTAAGTAACTTAATTATTTGTTGCGCATTTGGTGACACTGTGGTTAATGTTAGAAAAAATCAATGAGTAAATTATGTTTCGACCTAAATTTAATATTTAAAATTGACGAATGATAAATTTTGTGGTGTGGAAGTACCAACTGCTCGGTGTTGTTTATCAATAGCTAATTGTAAAATTACCAGTCGTGTTGAGTTCGCGATCCTTTCTCCCACTTAGGCCGGTCCCCGGAATGAAGAAAAACGAACTCAGCTATTGATAAACAAAGCACTTGTTACTTCCACACCACAACTTACCACTCGTTAACTTTCAATATTAAATATAGGTCGAAACATAATTTACTCATTAATTATTTCAAACATTACCATAGTATCACGAAATGCACAACTAATAATCAAGTTACTTAATTTTGTAAGGCAAAGAAATATTTTTTTTTTCAAAGACTGATTAATGTTAAATCTCATTAAAATAAACAAACGATTTTACATTTTGTTTACATTCACAGCAAACGTAATAGATGGTTGCATTTTATGTTCCTTAATTCTTTTTTATATTTATAAGCGATGTATTTGTAATAAATAATGAAATCTCGAGACGTGGGGAATTTGTGGGAAATATGAACTTTGCTCTCCCCAAATTCGGGGACTTTAACCGTGATTTTTAGGGATTTTGAACAATTGGCATTGGTAGCACTGCTCCCTATGTCAATCCACTTCCACTATTCTTTTTTTCTGACGATCGCCCTTTTTTGGACGTACGTTCGTACGATCGTTCATTTTTATGTATCGTAAAATTTTAAAATAATCGTTAAAGATACAGCTCATTTTCCAACTGATTTTTTAAAGACTTTTCTCCAGCGTCATGAGAGCGAAGGTATTTTACTATGTTAAATCTGCGATTGAATATATTGTGGTGTTGTTTATACCTTGGTTATAAACTGTGATATCTTTGTTGCAGTGGCGCAAGAAGCGTATGCGAAGGCTAAAGCGTAAAAGGAGGAAGATGCGTGCGAGGTCCAAATAAATAGGTATGTCTTCACCATTCACCACGTTTGTTTGTCCCATGCGGTCAATGCGGCGCACAACCCGCTTCTTTTGCTCTGAAAAAGCGTCACTGGTAAATAGGTTAATGAAAAAGATCGTGTTGCTATCTTTTCTCATATACAGTACGAGTTTAATATATCCCTATGGTCATAACCTCAAATTATAATCAAATACCTACCTAACCTAAATATATACTAGTGGTAGGTAATACAGTACTGTACAATTCTCTTTAGCCTAACTTGCCTAGCAAATTTTAACATACATTTAGTCCAAAAGCAGAGAGTGTTTCTGCCCAAAACATGGTACTGAGTACTCCTTATAGTGTAACCGTAGGCTATTCATGAGTTTTGGATATGAGGTCCTGTTTAGAACTAAAGTCGATATAACATGAAGCGTAATTGCCATCCTGTTGAATGCAATTATAGATAATAGAGGTCTCTCAGAATGTCTTACATGGTACTTGGTGCAACGGGCTGGTATCTGCAACTCGACGACAAGGCGCCTATTTTGCATGTGGTGGGTGCAGGGTCCTACTTGTGTCACCCAAGCTCCTCCAGGAATCTCAGCAGCCTCTTTGGTTTGCTGAAGACTTCGGGGAGCGACCTTGGTACTCCAAGGTACTTTGCCCTGTAGTTGGCCACGCCTGAGCACTGAAGTAGAATGTGCGCAGCCGTTTCCTCCCCCTCCATGCACGCTATGCATGGAGGGCTGTCTGTGATACCTAAATTGAAAAGGTGTTTATTGTATGGACCATGCCCTTAGGGCGGCAGTTGGAGTGCGAAGCTCTTGCCTTTTAAGTTTAATTAGTATTTGAGAAAGACTGGCATTGAGCGTTGGGAGTGCTTCCCTCGCCTGTCTACAAACCGTAAGGGACCACCATGTATTATTATGTGAAGATTTTGTACCTTTTTGTATAGTTGTTCTGGACCATTGGCAGGGGAGGGACACTATCGGTTCTAGTCCTACAGCGTCCATCTCCGACCCTTTTCGGGCTAGTTCATCTGCTGCATCATTGCTACGTGAGCCGCTGTGTCCTTTAATCCACTGTAGAGTTATGTGGTTTTGTATACATACCTCCATGAGTGCTTGATGGCATTCGTAAATGAGCCCTGAGTTTATGTCATAGCTATTCAGTGCTTGAAGTACTAACATACTATCAGAGAGTATTCCAATGGAGTATTTCTTTACTTTTCTTGCTATGATTGCTTCTGCAGCCAACTTGATTTCAGCCTGGAATACTGTGTTGTGATCACCAAGCGGTGCTGATACCTGATATTGAGGTCTTCTGAGAATACCCCAGTACCTGTTCCTGAATTTGTTTTAGATCCCTCAGTGAAGACTCGGACCTCTCTGGGGTTCAGTCCTTCATTGGGATCTTCAAACAATTGTATCTTGTATTTTTTGTCAAAGATGTATTGTTTTGGGATCCTATCCACAACCGCCTGCAGTAGCATTTTGTTCCTGCAGTAGCAAGTTCCTCATTGACAGTCTTATAAAGGATTTCTATATGTGGTGTCCTCATGTGCTTCCATAGGCTGGCTCTGTTTAGACGCGCTGCTGTTGACGCCGCTTCCTGTCTGATGAACAGTGGGAGGGGTCGAAGATCCAGCATCGCTTCGAGGGCCGCAGTTGGAGTTGTCCTCATGAAGCTGGTAGTCGCCATGCAAGCGAGTCTTTGGAATTTGTCCAGCTTGTCGGTTGTGGTCGTCAGCTTGGTTCGTGGCCACCATACTATCGCGCCGTAATTGATCATGGGTCTTATCACCCCAGTGTAGAGCCATAGTGTTTCTGCCCAAAACATGGTACTGAGTACTCTTTATAGTGTAACTGTAGGCTATTTATGAGTTTTGGATATGAGTCGATATAACAAAGCGTAATTGCCATCCTGTTGAATGTAATTATAGATAATAGAGGTCTCTCAGAATGTCATTTAGTTGAATAAATGATGCACACTCATAACCCTGCACTAGGGAAACCCTGTATAACGGGTGCTATGGACACACACATAGACAACCACAAATTACACTCAATCTTACAAGAGAAATTAATGTAGGCTGTATTAATATTTTTCTCAGGTATTGAACTCGGGACCACTGTATGACCGACCAGTATGGTAATGGTAACAGTTGTATTTATATGTATTCACATCATAAAATTTTTAGTTGGGTAAAAAATTTAAGTCTCAAGAAACTGTGTCACATCAAAATAGCTTTGTGTAGGCCTTCTTAAATGAAGGATATTAACAGTGACTACATTGCTCTATTATCTCCATATACTCTCAATTATTATTGTGATAAAATAGGGAAAGTAGATTTTCAGGAAGTGGACGTCAAGTGGAAGTCATAGTCTGTATGTAGCCAGCATCACATACTTTAAAAGAAACACATCACGTTCCCAAAAAATACTTTTCAAATTTCTTCAATTCATTATTGAAGACATGTATTATTAAGTTATTTATTGTGCAATGTATAGTCTTATGCTTTACAGTCATCAAGTATATAACCAGAAATAGAGACGAAATGTCATTTAATTTGTTTGAATACTATTCTGCCATATCATTACTGTGACAACTGTGCTCCGATTGGCTATCCCGAGTTCGAAACAATTGACGGGTGTCGTTAATGGGTGTCGTCAACTGTTTGACTTCAAATCGACCAGTTAACTTGAGCTTTGCTATAAAGGACGCAAAATCCAAAATTACATATTTAATATTTATTTACCAATGAAAAGTGAAATGTTTTTCCCACACCACCCGAATAGAACAGCACGGCATTGTTAAAGATATTATCTTTATTACAATAAATACAGAATATTTTTTGGAATATACAGAAACATACACACAGGTCAGTAGTTGGCCTGTCTATATTTCAGTGCAAACGAGAGTTGATATTTATAAGAGCTGTATCGTTAATGTATGACCACTTAATGTGAAACCAGGAATATTTCTTATTTCGTCTCTATTTCTGGTTATATACTCGACGTTTACAGTACCGAAATTATTACATTTACTCCAAAGATCATACCCACGGGTTCCTACAATTCTCTTCAAATCTCATTATGTTGCACTGAGTAAAGGCAACTCTCCCTTACAAATCCTGTTTTAAAAATGTTACTACACTATTATAGTAACTATCTATTGAACAAACAAAATGTAGCAAAAATAAATTTGTAAATTAGATAGGATTTACCTAGAGAAATCATTCTTTGTTTGTCTGGGAGGTCTTCATTGCCTTTTTAATTCAAGATAATGTCCAAAGGCTTAAATTCCTATTGTAGTATATTAATGTGTATGTACATTGTTCAAAAATTACTTAGGACTATGTAGCAGTAAGCATAAATATATAGATACTGGATTTGGCATATACACTCTCTGGCACGTAATTCAAACACCTTGCATTTTTACTGTATACACTACAAAAATATTGTTATTGTGGAATAAAAAGTTTTGTGCAGTTTTACAAATGAAAATTGTCGACAAGGACTTATGAACATTTTCATAAGTCCTTGTTGACATAGGTTCTTGAATAGGTATAATCAAGAGCACATCAAACTTGACACTTTGTACTTTGGACCGTTCTTAACGTAAGCAGTAGAGAGTTGGATTTAAGTGTTACGTGTCAAGCTTGACGTGCTCTTGACCCTGTACATAATCAAATTAAATTAATTCAGATAATTGAGATATAATCACGATCCCTTTCTAGGCAGTCATTTTCTCCTATTGAGAACAATGCAAAGAAAGAAAGGGTATATTAATTTGCTTTCTCCACCCTTCAGATATTCAAATATATCTAATAAGGACTAATCATAGCAAACACCTCTACTAAACTGAAAAACACTTGAATTATGTGAATATATAAATTTTAAATAATAATCATTTTATTGTTTCAGGTACACAATTGGGAGCTCGAGAATATTTCATAATATCTATGACTACTAATTATGTATCCAATAAAAACTAAAAAAAAATCATACTTATATTTTATTTGCATTAATCCTTCGGTAATTTGTAGTTATGATCCTCAATAATGTTTCTATTAGCTTTCAATATCGATGCATTTCCGCGTCCCGAGAAAAATGTATCGAGACCCTTGTGTGACTAGACTTTTGAGACTGTCTTGAAAGTAGGTTTTCATACATGGCAGCGAAAAATTAAGAACTTAGTTATTTGATTTTTATAGTGAGAACTTAAGAAACTGCATTTAGTACAATTTCAGATGTAGAGGACCTGATTTGTGCCGTTCTTCATCAACCTCCACAAATTATACTAAGCTGCATTCTACAGTGTTAGGTACCACGCCCATGTAGCCAGAATAAGAGTAATTCTGTTAGAACTAGTGGGAATAAACGTAAAAAATAACTGATGATTTAGTAATTGGTATTATAATTTAAACGACTTAAGTGGCGATATTCACTACACTGAAAATGTCAGACCGAGATTACCAGGATGGAAGCCCTAGTTTCTATCTATACACACCCACACTATGTAAAGTAAATCAAGCCTAAGATCTGTGCCACTAGATCAGCCTTTCCCAAAGCGGGCGATAACGCCCCCTTGTGGGCGCTGCAGGCCTAAAGGGGTAAGAGACCCAGAAAAAAAATGGGGGCGTTGTGTAGAGGCTTAGGGGAAGATTTGTAATTTCATCTAGGAAGACTCTTAGACACCGACTGAGCTTTCGACCACAACTTGTGAACATCAACTAATATTAATTAAGAGATTGCTCAAAATAACTCGGTTCGATATTTCTCTCCGTGTAGTTTATATATCTGCCCTGTTTTATTGAATAAATAAAATAAAAATCAAGTCAATCGGTCGCTCTGTTTCGAAATGAGAGTAGACACAAACAAACAAATAAAAAGGCAACAGACACAGTTTCGCATTTTAATAGTTATTAGTATTCCTATACTCTAGCCAATTTGATGTAGAATGTTTAATAACAAAACGTTGCTAGGTAACCAATGATAGCATAGGAAAAGGAACATTTTTTCAATGCTCATTATTAAGGCTTGCTCTGCCCACGGCCTGCTCCCTTAATTGAAATTGAAATAGATAGGTAGGTAATTGGGTTATGTAGATAATAATACTATATATATATATGTATATATAATATATATACATATACAGGGTGACTGGTTGAACGAAATAAATATTTAAAGTGGCGAATGAGTAGCTGATACCCACCCCGAATATGTAAAAATATCGCCCCAAAACATTATAAAAAAAATATATCGTACCATTTTACAAATACTAATACTCTGTTCGTTTGAGCTACTCTACGAACAGCTGATTGTTAGGAAAATGAACCGCCCGCCGCCGCCGCGCCGCGCCCCGCGCTACGAGCGCGTGTCAAGCCTCTCTCGCTTAAAATGTTTTAAAAATAATTCCATTTTCCTTTCATACTTTAATTTTGGCTTAGGACAGGCAAAAATACCAATTAAACTACGATAAATTATTTTTTAAAGTACACAATATTTTAGGCAGTTGTAAAACACAAACTAAGCTAGTAGGTATGAGCATGGTTTGGTATTTTTGGCGTATTTAAAAAATGGAATCATACCTATTTACAATAATTAATTTTGATTAAATTTACAAATTTACGGCAATCTTAACAATGTACGGGTGAAGACCGTCTCTGTGTAAGACAGTGATTCCCAAAGTGGTCCAGGTGGACCCCCCAGGGGTCCACGGGAGACTTGCTGGGGGTCTACGTAGGCGTGAACAAAAAATGGGGGTCCATAAGATGTTAATGGGGGTCCACGAAAAATTATCTGCTTTTGATAGTAAAGAGCAAAAATGTAAGCATAGTTTTATAAGGGCCTACCTACATTGTTTTAAGTACATAACTAAGCAGATAATATTTTAATAAGGCAAGCGACTTTTACTTGTCCAAACTTGCGTATTCGATATTACGTACAATTTCGTGTACGTACATGTACAGACTTGCAAAGCGCTATCCGCCCGACAATGCTTAATGCTTGTTCAGACATGAACTTGATCACCACTATAAATACTTGATGCCAAAGGCAAACTCATTCATTTGTTTCCGGAATTTCGAAAAAAAGGTTTGAGATAATTTATATCAGTGTTTGTTAGTGCCGGAGAAAAGTAAGTAACCTTTTTTTTTTTGTTATAGTACTTATGTATTTTGTTTACGTGTACTAGTCGGTTGATCACAACTGCTTGTATAGATAGGTAACTTAGGAACTTACAGATATTTTAATTGTCCTCTTTCGATTTGAAGACAAACACAGCACGTTTTATTCAATTGTTTTTTCGCGAGAGAAGCACTGCCTCTCTAAAAAGGCCGAATAAGCTATAGCAATTAATTTTTCAATTTTTCTTGCAAATAACTACTAATTTTATAAAACAGTATAAAAAAGTCACGTTTTAACAATGAAGGCGCAGACAAAAAATACGCAAATACATCATTGATTTGATGAAATGTTAGTTATCGTTTTTGTGGACAATTTTGGGATTTCGACTTTTATTTTTTCCTACACAAATATGATCAGTATTCGATACTGAGTACACCCATTTTTATTTGTACCATTAAAAATTAGTGGTAATTTAGGTACTTTAAAATTGATACCGTTTTGTGAAAACGTCTGTATTTGTCTTAGCGGTTATTAGTTGGCCCCTTAACAAGCCGTAATTCTATTTCTGCGTGCTGACAAAGGCTGCGGTGTGATACCTATATTCAGAAAAAAACTTGGTTACTAAAACATTCTTTTTTACAGGTAAGGTAACTGACACGAAACATGGCTACAGCAAAGAAAAAATGTCGACAATATAGTGTCGATTATTTGAAATATGGTTTTGTTCCATCAGAGGCAGACAAACAATTGCCCATGTGCCTATTATGCAACAAAGTTTTGAGCAATGACTCTATGAAACCATCAAAGCTCGAAGATCATCTAAAAAGGTGTCATACTGACAAAATAGGTAAAGATTTAAAATATTTTCAAACATTGAAGGAAAAATATGAAAAGAGACCCACCATGCACAGTATGTTCGCTTCAACATCTCAAAGTAACGATGACGGCTTGCGGGCATCTTACAATATCTCATTACTTATAGCAAAATCTGGAAAAGCGCACACTATCGGAGAACAATTAATTTTACCCGCTGTTGAAGAGGTTTTAAAAACTGTTTTGCACAAATCTCCATTTGACGTACTAAAAAGAATTCCATTAAGTAACAATACTGTTCAAAGACGCATTGATGAAATGAGCTCTGATATCGAAACTTTTTTGTGCGATCATCTGCAAAAAACTCATTTTTCTATACAACTGGACGAGTCAACGTTACCCGGTAATGAAGCATTATTATTGGCATATGTCCGATTTATTATGGAGGAAGAAATTCACGAAGAATTGCTATTTGCCAGAACTTTAGAGACTGACACTAAAGGCGAATCAATATTTAATGTTCTGAGTAATTTTTTTACGGAAAAATCGATTCCATTTACAAACATTATTTCAGTGGCAACAGACGGAGCTCCTGCAATGGTCGGGCGATATCGTGGGTTTATAAGTCATCTCAAAAGAATTATACCAGGACTTACAGCTATTCATTGCGTAATCCACCGACAACATCTTGTGGCAAAACATTTAAGTGACAGGTTGAACCGATCTTCATTTTGTAATAAAAGCTGTCAACAAAATCAGAAGCAATGCATTGAATACGCGTTTATTTGCTCAATTGTGCGATGAAAATGATGAAGACTTCCAACGACTGCTCTTACATACTGAAGTACGCTGGTTGTCGAAAGGCGCATGCTTAACGAGATTTTACTCTGTTTTCGATTCCGTATTAGAGTTCCTAGAAAGTAGAGATCCAGATTTAAAAGAAAACTTGATCAAATTCAAAGCAGACATTGCGTATTTGACAGATTTGTTTAAAAAATTTAATGATATCAACTTGCAGTTACAAGGGGACAGCCTGAATTTAATAAAAACAAAGGGGATAATTTCGGCTTTTCTTGGGAAATTGAAATTTATGAAGCAAAACATTAGTCGGCGCGAATTCTCTCAATTTCCAAACTTGTCGCAGGTAGAATGTATTGATGAGGATATCCATACCTACAGTCAACATTTAAGTGCCCTGCATGATGACTTTAAAACCAGGTTTGAAGATATGCTGACGATGGATATACCACCATGGATCATAAATCCATTTGAATTTGATGAAACGGAAGTGGCCAATGTTGTATTACAAGAGGAGCTGCTCGAGATAAGCACAATCTTCAAATCAAATTTAGAAAAGGCTACCAAACATTTTGGCTGCAAGCAGAAATACCCGAAAAATATCCTGGACTGTGGGAAATCGCAAAGAAATTTTTAATAGCTTTTCCCTCGTCATACCTTGTCGAAAGGAGTTTTAGTGCCGTTACAAACCTCTTAACAAAAAAAAGGAGCAAATTAAACATCACAGAGCGGGGGGATTTGCGATTATTGCTCACAAAAATAAAGCCAAACATTGATCGTTTGCTGACACTTCGTCAAATACATCCTTCCCATTAATTAAAATTATAACTTGAACCTACATTACCTTATTATTTTTTTCTTGTAATTCTATTCTTTTAATAAATAAAATGTTATAAATTTACCATTTTTCGTTTTTATTTTACCTATCGGAATATAGGGACAGAACTCAAAAACGACACAATTTTTATTTTTTGGCGACTTTAAGAATGTGGTAGAAATGTAGCAGCAGGGGGTCCACCGACACCAGTAAAATTTTGAAAGTGGTCCACGAGAAAAATAAGTTTGGGAACTACTGGTGTAAGAGTTTCCACACTGTCCATTGTGACACTCCGAATCGTCTTGCTGCATTTCGAGTACTCCGGCGTGGGTCATGCTCAAAGTATTCAAAAATCGCTTCTTGTAGGTCCACTGGATACGGATCCCTTCCTCGCCCTTGAGCATGCGAGGGCACAGTGAACTGCCCAAAAGTCCTCAAACGAAAATTGAGTCCTAACATTGAAGTGTAGGATGGAACTTGCCGATTAGGGAACATTTCACGGTACAGGTCCCTAGCACCACTAACTACATCATTTGCCATAACATAACACCGTATCATGTCCCAATACTCCTCATTTGTGTAGTGATAAGGCATCGTTATGTGTCACTGCACTCCACGGAATTACACAGTTGAATAGACCGATGTATCACGGAAAACAAAGATCGGCGCGGCGGCGGCGGCGCGTGCGTTTAATCGCAAAATCACAACGTCCTGACTTACAGAAGGGCGTAAGCGAACTAACCCGGCAGACGGCGGGACGCGCGGGCGGGATTGGGGTAGCCGGCGCAAGCGGCCTTCAACGAGTAGTGGCGGGGGTGTCTAATGCACATGCGCAGAAGATTTTGTTTTGACGAACGCGGTGTCACGCGCAGAGTAATACAAAATGTTAGAGCCAGTATTTTCTTTAAATAAAAATGTTTAATATTTTTTTTTTACATAGTCGTGTTATTTTTACATATACGGGATGGGTATCAGCTACTCATTCATCTCTTTAAATATTTATTTCGTTCAACCAGTCACCCTGTATATATAATGTATGTATGTATAGCAATACTTACCTAGCGAATTATTATAAAGTTTACAAAATACCAATTGATACATATGATTTAGGTATAAAAATAAGTGTTTGCATCTTATTAATATTTACTGATAGATTGTATGGTAATGGCAGATGAAAAAAAACAAAATTGTCAGATTTTATTTGATATTAATTTACCACATAATATTATATCATCCAGCATTTATTTCCGATACTGAACTTGAATTACCACCAGAACTTATAGAATACTTGTTTTTACTTGTTGAGTACGATTGAGCGTCGAATGAGGAGGGGCGTTCCCCCTATGTCGTGACGACAAATTGTCGTGCAGTTTACAGTGTCGTGGCTTGTATATTTAAATGAAGTTGTTCACATATAGCACGACACGATTAACTGTCGTTCACGATTTTTTATCGTTACAACGACAAACTGTCGTCACAGTGGGAACAGCTAGTACGACAGTCTTCAGACGATAACAAAACGTCACGATAAAAACGTGACGACAGATTGTCGCAGCTCCTATTGTCGTCACGTTTTATTTATTGCTGCCCGCACGTATTCTGCTCGTTATTTAACAAAAACTTGTTAAAACATGATTGCCCGCGGCCCATTATCTACGAAAATTACCTATCTAAATAGGAATACTAATAACTTAGAATAATAATAATAACACATAGAATGATAGTTTCATAAAAAAAAACGAACTGTCACAAGTGAGGCAAAAATCAAATTCATGTAGGCGTAAGCAACTTGTATTATATTACACATAAATATACAAATAATGATGCCATGGAATAACATTTCCCTCAAAAGTGGGGAAATTGTATCTAGCTTAACTCATCGTTAAGTTAGAGGTGCCTACAGATTTGTTTGATATTGTCGATTGTTACTGTTGATCGACAACGACAAGTGACAGGAATTTTCAAAAATTTATTTTTGGTAATCTTTATGGAAATGGCAAATTATATCTGAATACACGAAGGCGGACACGACTTTTCTCATTTCTAAATCCAAGATGGCGGACACGTCTTTTCGAATAAATGCAATATGGGAATCGTTTTCGAGGTATTCAAGGTGCTCATCACGAATATGGCATTTATTTCTAAATCCAAGATGGCGGTGACGACTTTTGAAATAAATGCAATATGGGTATCATTTTCGAGGTATTTGGGGGTGCTCATTACGAATATGGCACTCATTTCTAAATCCAAGATGGCGGGCACGATTTTTCATATAATGGCAAGTTGGGTGTCGTTTTCGAGGTATTTGGGGGTGCTCATTAAGAACATGGCACTAATTTCTAAATCCAAGATAACGGGCACGATTTTTCGAATAATGGCAAGTTGGGTGTCGTTTTCAAGGTATTAGGGGCTGCTCATTCCGAATAGGAGCACATATTTCTAAATCGTTACTGTCGATCGACAATGTCGAGCAAATCTGTAGGCACCTTATTAAATACTACCCAATTCTTATTTAACTCATATATGAACAAAAACCTACAAGCGAGTTTAAGTGCGACTATCGAATATTTGAATATATAAATAGCCTGATATTATCTCTGGGTATGTTTATATGAAAAGTACACGATAACAATTAAGAACCTGAACCTGAAAGTTATTTATACACGATTTTGGAGAACTGACGATGACTTTTTAGTCAGTGTTAGTTTCCTGAAATAATTTTAGTTAAGCACTTTTGAGTCTGGGCAAGACAATTTTTTAAAATGAGTGTATGATGAACAAGAATAATGATTTTTCACATGAAACTAATGAAGGGAAATACTAAATATATTTCGTAAAAATAGCTAACGTAAATTCCCTACAATGTTGTTGCGGCGGTGTACATTTGTAGAAATTTTGCAACCGTCGCGATATTGCCTATTCTCAAAAAATTACGTGATATGATTATTTTGAAACGGAATAGCAAAATGGGGAGAAAAAACCCGTTACTTTGCAACATTTTCGTATCTTGTTGCAACGAAATTAATTTTCTGTTTTAGTGAATATTTAGATAAAAATACAAGTTGAAACGCGTTACTTCCTTGTGGAATGTGATGTTAGTGTCTATTTTATATTTGTCTGATATATTTTTAAACCCAATTACCGCACATTTCGTCATTTCTAGCAAAAATTTTTGAGCTGCTCGCGGTTGAACTTGACCTTGAGCACTGACAGCCCGCTCGCTCGTGTAAGCCCATAGGGCGTCCTACAATTTGCCTCACTTAGCGTGTGCGGGCTAGGTTTCTATGCGTTATTATTGTAAGACTAATAACTATCAAAATGCGAAACTGTGTCTGTTGTCTTATTACTTGTTTGTTTGTGTCTACTTTCATTTCGAAACGGAGCGACCGATTGACATGATTTTTATTTTATTTGTTCAATAAAACAGGACAGATATATGAACTACACGGAGAGAAATATCAAACCGAGTTAATTTGAGCAAGTTCTTGATTAATATTCGTTGATGTTCACAAGTTGTAGTCGAGTGTCGAGAGCTCAGTTGATGTCTAAGGGTCGTATTCTAGAACTCTACTCAATGCTTTGCAATTGAGTATGATTCAAAGCACTAGAAATCACACTCTAGTCCTTGCTATTAGGGTCGTATTTCCAGTGCTTGAAATCACACTCAAATCTGCTCAAATCCTGACTTGAGCATTGAGTAGAGTTCTGGAACACGACCCTAAGAGTCTTCCTAGATGAAATTAGAAATCTCCCTTAAGCCTCTACATAACGCCCTCATTTTTTTCTGGGTCTCTTACCGCCCCCTTTAGGCCTGCAGCGCCCACAAAGGGGCGTTATCGCCCACTTTGGGAAAGGCTGGTCTAGAGCCTTAGTTCCCAAAGTGGTCCAGGGGACTTCTGGACCTCCAGGGGTCGGAAGACTTGACGTGGGGGCCTATGTTGGCGTGACAAAAAATAATATGGATATGGAATATGGTAGAAATGTAGCTGCAGGGGGTCCACCGGAAACAACTAAATTCTGAAAGTGGTCTATGAGAAAAAAAGTCTGGGAACCTCTGGTCTAGAGGATGGAAAAAAGTTTCCATAGTCTAAGCTGTTATTAGTCCTGTGACTACTATAATGAGCTTTGAACTAGGCCGGCCACGTGCTCTTTCCTGATCAATTCATCGGAAGGGAATATTTGTAACAAAATTGTGTATAGTATAGTGAACTTTATAAATATCAGTTGTGCAACGTACAAACTAGGTACGAGTTTCAGGTCGCGCGTATTCCAAACAATTCTCGCAACTTCTATGTGGATGTCGTTTTTATTTTCGCTTGTGGATCGCCAACTGACAAATTGGTACCGTTCCTTTTAGTATCTGTGCTTAGTAGAGTACGTAGGTATGTACAGTTAAGAGCACAACAAGCTTGACACTTTGGACTTCAGACCGTTTTTATTGTACGCGGTATCGAGTTGAATTTAAATCTAAGTGTTAAGCGCACAGACATAAGCGAATTATGAAATAATATGCCAAGAAATTCTACTTCAGCTCATCGCTTACTATTTAAGTCGTGTTCCATAATGGCATTTTAACGTATTTGCCACTATAGCTTCCATTTTTGAAAGTTTCTAAAATATCCATTGTCCCTACCTAAACTTCGTATACCCAGTGCGTGAATGATTTTTATTCTCTTTAAATCTCGTATGCGTCGATTGACTTGTGTCATTATGTCACTCGTAAATGGTTAAAATTCTTGATAAAAATTCATTATTATTTAAAATTTACTTGTTTCTTTATTACCGGAAGAGCTAAACCACTAATCTCGAAGATGGGTCGAGTGGGTGGTATAAAATGGGACAGAACCTACACAATTCGACCGGTGCATAACATTGCCTCCTCCGATTTCTCGAAGTATAACCCTCAGCCCTGGAAATTTATGGTGAGTGAGTCACAGTAGGTAATAGTTAGGGCTGCATTTCAGTTGTTAGATGGTTCATGGTGATGGTTAGGTGGTTCATGTGTCTCAGGCTGACGAGCCCAGTGGCAATGCCTCACTTTGCTTTGAGTCGTCACAGGCGCACGACGTATTCGTACCATTATTTGATCTCGTCAAAACAATGAGCTATATTCACTAGCGAATCGAGTTAAGTGCACTAACTAGGCCTAAATAACTGAAATATAAGGAATTTTACTATCGTTACGAGTGTCCAGTGCTGTCTTGGCCGCCCTAGACCTCAGGCCATGTAGTCAGTACTAGCCGCCCCTTTCTCAGCACTCATCATTTACTGGTAGACTACATAATGAATTTACTTTATTGCCAACTTTTATCGAAATTGATTCAGAAATTTAGTTAACTATAATAGCTGCTAGTTTTTAACATTTTCAGAGGTTTCAGATTTAAATAAAATATTTAAAACAGTTTTTTCACGATTGGCCGCACTAGGCCCGCCTATAAGTAGTAGGCATTTTAATGGAGCTGTTAAATTTCAGGAGGGTCCACCGCGCATAGATTTTCTGTTGTCGTATGAGTATCAAAGAATATGGATAGAAGAACGAGATCTGTGGCAAAAAAGGATGTACCCTGAAACAACGACGGCTAAAGTGGATGTTATTACCAAATACATCTTGTCGTTCAAAAATGCTCCACCTAAACCTAAAAAAGTGACAAAGGAACCGTTTATAATGAAAAAGTAACAATTATTTTATTACACTTGACACTTAAAACTTAAATCCAACTCTATGCCGCTTACGATAAGAACGGTCAAAGGAAAGTACAAAGTGTCAAGCTTGATATGCTCTTGACTGTACACATAAGTTTTCTTGTGGGGTGTATGGGGAAATTTTAGTAGCAGTAGACCTTGTGAAAGAGTTCGTCCAGGGAAGTTCGTTTTGTTTTGCAAGTGTGCTGGTGAAACTACACGCACATATGGACCTTGCCAATTTTATGTCTCAAGGTGATTTTGAAATTTAAAACTTGAGGGCACTGTAACTGTTTATATTTTTGGGTAGACGCGTTGTTTACCACTAAGTGCACGACTTAAAAAAAACAGTGCCCTGTCAAGCACTGTTGCACGATTAGGCGATTTTTCGCCATTAGGCTACTTTGAGGGGTCGCGCGGCGATTAAAAAAGTGATCGGCAACTCGGCGATATTTAGACTATGTTTGAAATAGGAAAAGGCGATTTTAGGCTACTTAATAAAATGTCTGGGAAATTACAAATTTTATTGGGGATTTTGTTGGGAATGGAGTTGTAAAATAACTCATTTGGGGGTTTGAGTATTTCTACGTGTCGGGAAACGCTATGTCATCCACACAGTAGGATCCAATTTTAAATACTGAAGCCTTTTTATTCATGTACAGTTTTAGAATACCTATATTCAAATTTATTATTTGCTCATGGAAAAGGAAAACATTGTGAGGAAACCTGAATAATGTAGGAGATTTAAAGTAAGAACATACACATGAAATCTTTGACGCCCATTGGAGCAGCGTGATAAATGATGAACTACGGACTAAATCCAATCTTGTTGCGATTTGCCCAGCCGCGAGGAGTATAAGTTTATGAACCATGACGGAACCCTTAGGCGATTATCATACTGCGCCGCGCTCCGCGACGGAGCGCGGACCTGCGTTTTTTAACGTTGTACTGAAGTACCTCAGTTTGACAATGTAACTGCAGCGTCCTGATTGAGTTCTGTATTATTAACCATTCTTGTCAACGAAGGATCTCGGCTATATATACAATCACTACGACGATCAACTGCGAAGCGAGTACTTTAAGTGACGCGGGGCCGCTAGACCGCTACCCTCGCCCAGATTAAACCGCGCGTTGACGCAGATCTGCGTCTCCGCCACCGCGCGCGTGATTTCGCGTCTCGCGCTACGTGTCGCGGGGCGCGGTGCAGTGTGATAATCGCCTTAGGTAATAAAGACTAATTAGTTTTATTTTATTTGTAACAGCTGAATATACAACACGCTGTTAGAAGGAACCATAAATTATAGACCTACCACCGTTATAACAGCAAGTGTTATAGATTTTTACTGGAAACTAGTGTGATGTGTGTTAAGAATATTGCTAAGTCAACTCAGCTAATTTTTTGTATACCGAGTTTCGTTGGATGTAGATATTTTATCAAAATATCATTGTGCGCTTTCAGATTCCAGAACATAAAAGCCAGAACTTCGAACAAACGTCCATCCGACGACAAAGCGATGAAAAAACCTTCGTAACAACGTAACATGATATTTGTTCATCTCATCGTGTTCACATTACTGTCATGTGAAGTATTAAAACTAGAACACAACACTTTGAAGGTAGTTTTGAGGGTTTATGGATTCGTATACTCTGTAAAAATATGGCTGTATCTAGAATAAACCGACTATCACACTCATAAAATTACATTTAATTTAATATTTTCGTGTGAGTGGATGATTTTTAAGTCATGTGGAACGAGTATAGATTTTATTATATACCTTAAAAGAAGTTTTTTGAAAATAAATTTACATATGGTTTAATTACAACTGTTTTTTATTGAAAGCAAAATATTATTAGGACTTACTAAGTTTTGTTTAACCTATATTAATGTACTGCCTATTTTTTATTGAGGTAGGTACATATATACCTTTTTAAGACTGTTATGCTGTTTTTATGAGATAAACAGGGACAAGGACTCCACTCGGTATCTGGACACTCATACCACCTTAAAAATTATTTGTAAATGTTTCACCAAGTCCACACAGTATAGATAATATACATGTTGGGTGGAAATTTTCATGGGAAAACTTGATTAAAATTGCACTACTTAGACATTAAAGTAAAGGTTACTAAACGGATGTGAGAAAAAAACAAAAGGAGACGGGATAGTATTTAAATTAAAAACTTAAAAATCTCGTGATCCGAGATAAAATCCTTATAATGCACTAATTGGGAAAGAAGATGTTTTGAAAAAACAACTGGGTAGAAAATTCATCAAACAGATAAGAACCATCTAAATTAAACAGCCTTAAAATTAAAATAAAACGCTATGAGACTTGTCTACCCGTTAAGGGAACTAGTGAGCCTATTATGCCACATACTGTAATAAGCTTCATACTTTAATTTCCTTGTTTTTGTTGTCGGGGTTAAACACAGGAAAATCAACTTATAATATGATACAAAATGATTTCGATATCACGATTCTTCGTCAAAAGCAAAACTGGCGCCACGCTTCACTGGTTTCAGAGTCCACCTCTGCAACTGTAGGTAATTGGCGACGATCATATTTTTCATACTATTTTTACAAAACTTGACACTGGCTAAATATTATATAAAAAAAGCACCGCCAATAAGCACATAGACGAAGAAAAAGAAAAGTTTATCGGTTTAAGGAGAGTACCACACTTATTGATACGCATAATCACGGAAAAGTGCATCAAGCTGAGAAATAACAAGTCTGCGACGAATATTTATTTTTTAATTTCTCAGGCGAAGTTTAGAGAAAAAATATACTAATAAATTAGGAGCAGTGGCAAATAGTCTATGTAACACGATTACCGTCGGCTTGTTTTAAACCATAATATAATCCATTCACTTACATTCATAACACGTTCACTTCATTCTGGACATACAAAACGCCTGATAGTTCTATCTATCCGAGTACAAAAAGCCATGTTTCGTATACAGTTTCAATTACGCGAATTTCTATGTCAGGTCAATCTGACTGAGATCGATTCATAATCATAACATAATAAAATTAGCAATGCCAGGTCCAAGTCTCGTTTCGACAGCAAAGAGTGCAACAGCATTGTAGTTTTAAGATAAGAAAATAATACCGCAATATAATGGTAGTTATAAAATAGCCTCTTTAACGGATTTCGTTTGGTAGTTTCTACTCCTACTTGATAGATTGTGGACCATACGCACGCACACTGTACTTCTTTATGTGATATAGTCAAGAGCACGTCAAATGTGACTCTGGAATTTGGCGTACACTTGAATTACAATATTAATATAATGAAATGTGCAAGACTACCACACCAATTGCCTGGCATCAAATTAGGCATCTGTACTGTAGTACCAGAGCAACGGGATTCACTCTGGGGCACTTCCCAGAACCAGAAAAAATTTTCCGAAAAAAAAAAGGTCAGTCCCAGTTTGGTGCCACCGAGAATCGAAGTCGGAAACTCCTAAGCCAGCGCCTGGAGTGCAAGCCCTTGGGCTACCGAGATCGTCAACTTTAATTTAAATGTCAACACAAGGTAAAGGTACTATTTATTATACACCGTGATGCTATCGTGCGCTTAAGCAGTTTTCTGAAGAACATGATGACTATCACGACCAACATTTGTGTTAGCTAATGAATATGTTTGAATTCCACGGTTAGAACTAAGTGTTCGTTTTGTCGGAGCATGTTAGCACACTTTTTCTTTATAATATCACCTGACGGGACGAACAAGTCGTGCGCCTGATGGTAAACTGCACGCCTGTCCATAACAGTTGCAGTACCACTCGGCTCTTTAAATCGCAATGATCTGAGGCGCACTGCCACTGCACTTTTATAGTTCATGAACTACGAAGTATTCGGAATATATTCCCGACACTGACCGACATGAACTACACACATCAAAAGTGTCTAGGGATCAAGTACGTTTAAGAGTATTGCTGCAATTAGGGTTAATTATATTAACTTTTTTGTATCGCTATTGATACTTTTTAGTGAGTTTTAACATTTAAATAAGGAATATTGTTTAAAATTCGATAATAAGAAGAAAATCGATTGTCAATGTGGTTTTGTATAAAAATGAGTTATAGCGTTTTGACAAAATCATTACAATATCTGCATCGGAACCGAAACAATTTACATTATTATGGAGAGACGACATCATTTAACCCGAGAAGTGATGATGCGAGCCGTCGGAATGTTGAAATCTGGTTCCAGGCAACGTGCTGTGGCTTTCACTCTTAACACTACACAGAACGTCATAAGTCGCCTCTGGACGCGCTATCGCATGACGGACAGCGTGGCCGAGCGACATGGAGGACGATCTCGCATCACGACTCGCAGACAGGACCGGTATATCCAAAATACTGCTCGACGGAATCGTACCATGACCGCCATGATGTTGGTTACGAGGCTCCACAGCTCCTCAGGCTTGCTAATAAGCGATCAAACAATCCGAAATCGTTTACGTGAAGTGGGTCTGCGATCCCGAAGGCCGCTCAGAGTTCCACCTATTGCACCCTGCAATCGCAGGACCCGTTTACGATGGGCTCGCGAACACAGAAACTGGGAGGAAGAAGACTGGCGCTATGTGTGCTTTTCGGATGAATCCCGCTTCGGTATGAGACCGGATACAAGACGTACTCGAGTTTGGAGAAAATCTGGACGTCATGAACGTTTGAGATATTGTCAGGAAGTTCATCCATATGGTGGGGGAACAATAATGATATGGGCCGGTATTTGGATCGGCGGAAGAACCGATCTCATTTGGATCAGGGGTAACCTCAATGCTTAAGTTTACGCAGAGAGGATTATTTCAGATGTTATCATCCCTTTGCGAGGCCAGTTGGGTGATTCATTTCAACTAATGCATGACAACGCACGTCCACACACGGCTAGAGTCGTAACACGCATTCTTGCCGAAGCTCGTATCAACGTTCTGCCGATCCAATTGAGCACGCATGGGATATGCTTCAAAGAAGAGCTGTGCCGAGTATGCATACCGTACATACTCTACAACAATATTTTGACTTGTTACAAAACACATGGGCGGCCATTCCTCAAAGTGATTTTGATGAACTCATCTTAAGCATGCCAAATCGCTGTAATTGTGTGATTCGTGTTAATGGTGGAAATACAGATTATTAATTTTCTTATCTTTACAATAAAAATGAGCAAAATCATCATTTTCGCCATTTTTTTGTCATTTCATTGACGCCGTTAATTTGAGTTTTTTCCCACAATTTGCAAAAACATCAATTTTAGTTTATTTTAATTAAATATAGGGGTAAGCGGTTAAATAAAACATAAGCATTAAAGTAAGAAGTCGTCCTGGAAGACTGGATTTGGTAAATATTGCTTAAATAATTTTTATTTCAAAAATATTCACTTGATCCCTAGACACTTTTGATGTGTGTAGTTCGTCTTGGACGGTTTTAATAGTTCAACGTTCTTTTTAGTTCAGTACGAAGTAGAAACTGTGTGCGTTGATAGTTCACCTGTCTTTTATTGAGTAGGAACGGTGCGAACTATTTTTAGTACAAGTTCGAGTGGGATGCGCGATTGAACGTTGCCAACTTGTTCTAAGTCTGTAATACGTATCTACGTTATGTATATATACAAGTTTGCAAAAAAGTAAGTGCTCATATTTTTTGGTAGGTGCGGTAGGTATCTGTATGCATAATATCAACCTACGTGTACGAGTATACGAAATAGTTGTACCTAAATGTGGATTTTTAAACACACCATTCTAACTAAAATTCTTGTTTTGTAAAAAAAGGATATTTAGTTAGAATGACAGTGTAAGGGACGTATTCCAGAACTCTACTCAATGCTCAAGTCAGGATTTGAGCAGACTTGAGTATGATTTCAAGCGAAAATTTTATCTAATTTTTTATTTTCTATTTTATTATCTAATTTTATTTAACTATCAACGCAGACAGTTCTCAGTTCGTACTGAACTAAAAAGAACTATGAACTGTTAAAACCGTGCAAGTCGAACTAGTTCATGTCGGTCAGTGTAGGGAATATATTCCTAATAGTTCGTAGTTCATGAACTATACAAGCCTAGACTACAGACATATATCTAGATAGATGCCGCAAGTGTACGTACTTCGCGTGCCCAAAGTAAGTGAAATTCACTTAGTTGCCGCTGCTACACTCAGAACGCGCTCGACTGTTATCGTATTATGCCATATTTTATGCTGCAAAAGCACTATAACTGTGGGTAAACGGGTCTAGGGGTCTACTCTCGATCTCTGTCCGAAACAATTACTGCCAAATAAGCAATATTTGACCAAATGAAAAGACGTGTGATGCGAATGAAGCTTCATACTGGATACTTGGCTTTTAATTTTGTCGAATATTTCTTATTTGACAGTAATTGTTTCGGACGGATGGCGGACGGAGATCGAGAGTAGCCCCCCTAATCTCGATCTCCGTCCGAAACAATTACTGTCAAATAAGCAATACTTGACCAAATTAAAAGAAGTGTGATGCGAATGAAGCTTCGTACTTTATACTTGTCTTTAAATTTGGTCGAATATTACTTATTTGACAGTAATTCTTTCGGACGGATGTCGGACGGAGATCGAAAGTAGACCCCCAGAGGTGTTTCCTTCCGCGGGCAAGTGGTTTTGTAACCAGGAGATGCATAATTTATTTCAAAAACAATTATTTTGGTTTTGTATGAATTTCGAGAAAACAAATATGCAACAGAGTGCCTCTTGTTTTGTAATACATTGCGGCTTTTACTTGGTGCGATATATTCGTGATCCGTTGTTAATACGCCATGAATATCGAACGAACGCATTTTGTATAATGTGTTCAGTTTCGTGGTACGGCCGTTTGTACATTTCTTTGGCCAAATTTAACATTTAGTGATGTATACGTTAGGCAACACTGTTCTCGATTCTGATCGATTTTCAAAACAAACGAACGGCAATTATTATGACCTTAGCAGTATTATAAAAATAATATTCTTTAACTCTTTTGTTATAACATTTCGTAACGTTTCGTTTTTTTTTTTCAGTTTTGTAGTATCTATTACCAGTAGTATCTGTAATTTCGATAAGTTATTTCGAATGTCCGAATATAGTGAGCAAATAATTATATACATCGCCGGATATGTAGTACGAGTACATATAATGCAAAGAATTAACAGTGCGCTGTCTTCACAAAAATTTGGAGTTGGTCATATGTATGAGTTTGTTGCTTTCGAAAACGAAGGTGGTCTAGATTATCCCACCTAAGATGCTATCAAAATATGCAGAGTAGCAGAGTTAGACATCCGGGAAGTAATAAACAAATTTAGTAAACCTCTTCTGATTAATAAGATTTTACCATATTTTGTCAGCAGTAACATTTTCATTTGTCTTGCTATTCATCAATTTGATCAATTACCAACAGAAAACAATCTAGTAAAATTAATTACGGCAGTCGCAAGTTCATATAGTGACGTGCGTTTTCATTATTTAAGTTAATCGATAAGATCTTCTATATCAAAAAGATGTTATTTAATAAGCTCATTTTATTGGAAGGACAATAATTTTAATATTTGAAGTCAATTAAAAACTAGTCTTAATTTTTTTTAAGTAATAAACATTTTTAAAAAACAAATAAAATAAAGGACTTAACTATCTTATTCTAGTATTTTTCTACTATATTAACATTACGACTACTTGTAATCAACAAATACTTGAACAAAAATTATTCTATTTAGAATCGATTAATTGAATGAAATACGCGTGTTTACGCGTATTCCGTTCAATCAATCGATTTAGAGTGAGCGGAAGGTTTCATCACTAAAAAGTTCTTGTGACATCATAGTGGGTACAAAAAATGTGGCACACTTGGTCTTCATACACATTGCTGTACTTGCGGCGTCTATCTAGATATATTGTCTGTGGTGACGACGATAGCGTCTTTCAGAGTGTCGTCAACTCGTCAGCGTCTTGCCCAGACACGCACAAAGAGCCACGCACGTCACAGAGCGTTGGGTATACGCCGCTGTGCCGGCGTACCGTCGCGTGATGTCGACGCGCTGTGCGTGAGTTGCATTGGTAAGACGCCGTGACGCTAGTGTGAGGGGTCTCTAAACTTGATAATTATATCTCAGCACAGGAACTTTAAGCGGCTTAGTCTTGTTTTGTCTGCTATAACCTTTATAATGAGGCATAACAAGTTCAGATCAAACTGTTATCATGCTATTCAATACCATTTAAATTCGATGCAGAATAAAATGTCAAGAAACAAAAACATGATTTTTAGAGCGGTTACACACGGCGATGCAGTAGCTAATCGTCTACCTCTGTACACACACACACACAAGACTAAGCAGCGATGCAAACGCGCGATTGCATCGCTACACTTGTGATTTTTAGGCGCTAACCACTCTTAGGGTTTTCACCTCTTTTACAGTTACCACAATTGCAATATTTCTCCCCGAAATTTGATTATTCTATTGATAATACTAATCTTGAAGTGATGATTGCGATGAAGTTTAAAATAGTAATTGATTTGAAACCAACATAAAAATCACCATTTATAAAACTGTGTCATCCTTTAATGGTTTTTTTATTTGAAGGGAACATTCGAGTTCGATTAGTAATTCAAGTTCAGAATCTGAAATTGGCATTGTTGTGACGTAGTAAATTAATATAAAATAAAATGTTACAATTTTGTTCCTTTTCATCTACCATTACCTACTTACTATCTATATAGCAATAAGAATTAATAGGTATCAAAAACTTATTTACTTTATTCATAAATAATACGTAGGTACCAAAAGGTACTTTGTAAACTTTATATTTGTGTAGCTAAGTATTACTTGTACATAATCCATTTAACTATTTCAATTCCAATTGCGCGGGCAGGCCGTGGGCAAAGCTGGCTTAAATAATGAGCATTGATAACAAAATGTTCTATACTCCTGCCACAATTGGCTGCCTAGCAACGTTTTGTTATTCAACATGCTATATCGAATTTGAAATGTTATTGAAAACATCGAGTATATGACACCTGTCAATTGTTCCGAATTCGGGCAGGCCAATAGGAGCGCAGTTGTCACTGTAATGATTTGGCAGAATAGTTTTCAAACAAATAACATTTCGTCTCTATTTCTGGTTGTATCTTAGACTATGGAAACCTCTATTTTATTTCCATCTTCGATGATTGAAAATATAGAGTATAGAAATAGGTACGAAAAAACAACTAAAAGATTGTGGGTATTATGGAAGTTTTATTTCTAATTAAAGTTGAAAAACCAAACAGCCACTGCACACTAGGTACTATAAAATATTACAAACTATTTCTTGGCAATTATTGGGTTCGTACACACATTGAACAGACTTATATTTCGTTTACACAATATTATTTGTAGATGATCATCTTGAGTATCAGTTATTTATTACTTAGTGTATGTATATATTCAATAACTGCAGAAGGCAAGCGGTTTCGACGATTGACATAACACACGAAGTTACATATTTTCGAAACAATCCACAGCTATTAATCTAAGTCATTAGTTAAAATTTCGGAATCTAAACATACTTTGTACAAGGCAATGAATGGTGCTTAACGCATACATTGGTTAACGTACCTATAGCCCATTTATTTAAGTACTTAACTAAATGTAAACAATTATGATACATCTTTTTATTTAAACATATACTTTACAAATCAATAGGAATTAAAAATAGGCATGTAATTTAATACGAAACTAAGTATTTGTTTTTGAAGGTAAGTAAAAATAATTTCATAAATGTATATTTCAATAAATAGACACCTCAAGATTGTTTACATTTAGTTAAGTACCTAAACAAATGGACTATTACATAGAATTCACGAATTATACATGTTATCTGATTATATAACTGTCCTGAAAAATAAAAATATTGGACAAAATCACATGCTTTATAAATAACGCTATTTTTTTGTCTGTGCCACGGCAAAAGACGTATATAATTGAACACAATTATCATAAATCAGCGTAGAAATTAAAGTTACTTAACCAAATCAGTCAACATTATAATATTACTAAATAAGTTTCTTATAATCGCAACATGTTCATGAGTAAAATAAAGACATTGTTATACTTTGACTTATTTACTTTTTTAACATGCAATAAGTACTATTATAACACAAAAAAAACCAATTGTATCTTTCTGTGATTGTAAATATATAACCTGAATTTTGAACCAGCAAATATTTAAAGTTTATGTCGGAGCGTTTGGCATTCCACACAGTGGGCCCAAATTGAAAGTAAGTGTTATTAATATAAAGTCGAATTCTCATCAGAAATTTTCACATTCCTAACATATTCCGAAACATCCCTAACGACTAATTATTATGAAAAATTTAATATAATGAAATTATACATTTCTATTTATCATAAAGCACACAGGTGGCTCCACTGTGTGCCATATAGGTTTTTATATGTAAATAACATATATTATATGGGTTGCTTACATTGATGATAATATACTTTTAATATTTTGAAAGTAAATTTAAAGGATTTTTATTTTGATAGATAACATCAGAGCTTTAGTGGAATGAATTATTTAATGCCATCTGTCAAACGTTTGTTTCATACACTACACATATAAGTTTATAATTTTGTTTCGAAGATTTAAACGTTGTATGTGGTTACGGCGGGCGTGTTTAGCCGAATTGAAAGCTGAATGCCGTGCCTGGGAAACCGCCTCCAGAGTGGAAGTCAAAATGCTGGCCACCGCGGTTGAAGAATGTTTGGAACACTACATTCGGGTCAATATCTGGAACGAATTCAAAAAGTTGAGAATAGCTGCTGTGCAAAAAGCATTTACGCCTTGCATATAATTAAGAAAATAAAAAGTAACAATAAGGTGCCACCATTTTTAAGCTATTATATGGCTATTATACTAGAAGTAACAAAAAATTTTTACACAATTCACAAAAAAATTCTCATGCAAATTTTCAATTCACCGTTTCCGGCAAATTATTTTCGCCGCTTTGAATATAGTAGAATCTTTTGTTGTACTCTGTGTATTGAAAGCGACTACAGTCCAGACAAAAGATGATATAAGTTTATTTCTCTTTTCTGGGAAAGGGGCCAGCCTTTCTGAGTTTGACAATATAATAATTGCTGCTGGAGACACAACCAAAGAATTTAATACTCCTAAAATTTTCGAATTTAATTGACCACCACTTTGAAAAAGGATTACGCATTGGTCGCTAGAGGTGTTTGGTTGGTCGATTATAGGTTAGCTTGCGCTAAAAGTGATCAGTTGCTAGAACCTACTGTTTCTACTGTACTTGTAGATTGTTAATATAAAATATTTTTTTACTTAGAATATTGTACCTAAAAAATTACAAATCTATATATATCATGCGAAGTGTAGATCGAAATTAAAATTGGCTCTTCTAAAAACTCACATGACTTAATAACATTGGTACTAAAATTATCTACCGCATTGCATTCCCAATGTCAATCACAGTACAGTGAGGAGTAAATCAAGCTTAACATTTTTAGTATAGTGCTTCTATTTTCTCAGTGTCTCTCGGCAATCATCGGATTTCCGAATACACACGAATATTAATTTCTATTAATTATTAGATTTAAAATCTATAATAATTTTAATTTTGAACAACATACTTTACTATTGTTTTGTTTTGATTTACGCGTGAACTTATACAGAGCTGTAAAACTATGTCCCTATTTTTAATAACATTTACTCCATGTCAATAAGCAAGTTAACAAAAATATAAAATAAATAAAGTGTGCTTCTTTTATACAACTAACAAAGATATCTTTCCGGTTATTATTTTAAAATATTCTTTACTGTTCTGACTGAAACACCACAAGCTACAGAAACACGTTGTTGGTTTTTTTGTTGTTTTTCTTGAACGTATCGGCTTCTTGTAAAAAATACAAGTACACGCTGTTAATAAAAAAAATCTGTCGTGCTAAAGTCACAGTTTAGCGGCTTTCCTCCCATTTCTAATAAATAAAAAATGTAATAGCAACTCTATATACTTCTAATCCGGTCTGTACCAAAGGCAATGGGCAGTTGCCCTTATAAATAAAACCTGACGATAGCCGAAACATGAAGTTTGCCAAGAGACATTGAGAAAATAGAAGCATGCAAATCAAGATTAATGATGTGCTCTCCGTACATACCCAGTTTGTTTTTTTTTTTTTTACTTTTATTCACTTGACTTATTCTTTATATATACTCTTATTCACACGACTTCAATCTTTGATTTGAAATATAGGTATTAAAATTACCTACCGCATTCCCAATGTCAATCACAGTAAAGTGAAAAGTAAACCAAGCTTCACACTTTCAGTACACCAAGTTTAACAGTAGCATACTTTGTCTCGGCATTAGGAGTGATATTTGAACTAAAATGTCAAGCATGAGAATGCTCTCCATTCTTACATAGTTCTTTTATGGGTGTAACACTTACCTGCCATGCCGGAACCGTCTTCATCAAGATCCTGTCCTTGGTCGTAGCGGGCGCGCTTCTTGGGATCACTGAGAATGCCGTACGCTTCACCTACTTCCTTAAATTTGCGTTCTTGTTCGCGACGCTCGTTGTCCGAAGCACCAGCATGCCGGTCAGGGTGGTGCACGAGGGCACGCTTTCTGAAATTGCGTAAATGACAATACGTATAGCTCTTATTAGGTTCGGTTAGGTTGCAGGAAAGTGTACTTATAAGACATCTGAATTACCAACCTGTAAGCTTTCTTAATATCACCTTCAGAAGCGCTTTTCTCAATGCCAAGAATTTTGTAATAGTCTTTGCGTTTGGATTTTTTAAGCGCCATTTTTGCTTCATGGAGCAGTTGCTTATTCTCTTTGCTTTTATCGATTTTGTATAGTCTTTCATAGTCTTTTACAGCTTCTTCAAATTCGCCAAGTTCGGTATAACACTTGGCCCGTCGTAAAAGCGCTTTCACGTAATTTTCATCGAGCTCCAAGGCGCGTGTGCAAGCCTCTACAGCGTCTTTAGTTTGATTCAGTTTTGAGCACACAGTGGCCTTGTTGAAATAGAGTTTGGCATTGACAGCCTTGTTGTTTTTGTCGATGGTTAATGCTTCATTATACAATTCCAAGGCTTGCTGCCATCGGCCCATTTTAAATGCTTCGTTACCTGCAAGTTTATTACATAAATGATTACACCTCAAACAATACCTCATCCTTTAATAAAAAGCTCGGCTCTTGAGTTAAATTAATTAATATAATACCATGGGCTATCAATTCATACTAATTAACTTTAGGTCACAAGAAATACAAAACTGTTTAAACAACATTTTAGAAATGTTGAAATTAAAATTAATTTACAATTACGAAATTTAGCCAAAACATTTAACTGTCGTCGAAAATGTTGAAAATAGAACAAATCGAAGGTTTCTCAATGATATTCTTTTTGATTTCTTAGTTTGCAATCAATTGTATAGATGGCACTTCTTTGAATTTAGTTTCGAAACTAAGTAATGTTTTAGCACTAACTTTTTATTTAAAATATCTAAAGTAACTAGTCAGTTACTAGAAGCTGAGTTCAGCTTCTCTGCTATTTCATTATATGTTATATAAGTATATTATAAAATATGTATAATCACCGCCTGAACAGGAGCAATAACCTTGACAATAATGTAATAGCTACCATCTGTCGGCCATTTCGAATATTATTACAATCGCATCGCGGGTTTACTTGGTACCATCTATTGATCAGCGTTATGAATCAAAATAAGCGTCCGAATAAGCGGAGTTTGGAGTGCGACATTTCTTTGTATGGGATTGGGTATTTGTACTGGTACATTATATTATCTGTGATAATACCTTCTTCTTTCTTCTGTTTCAGTAGTTTAGCCTTTTTATAAATTTCCATTGCCTTTTTGTGATCTGGAGCAAGCCGCAATACTTGTTGGAAGTGTTTGAATGCCTGTTCATCTTTGTCCTAGAAGACCAGTGTTATAAAAAATGTTATTTTGTCCAAGTTGTGAAATAAACTAGAATAAATATAAATATTTCTTTGCAGCATGTGGTAATCTTCTGAATGGCCGCAGCAATCGCTATCAAACGTAACCGTGTTTTCAACCATAAAAGTTTCACAATTATCAACTTTTGAAACAAAAATGACAATGATATCGAAATTGGATCATCAACAATAGATCGGAGTAGGTAGAGCCATTTTTGTTACTTGATATATACGGTTATATTTGAGAAATAATTGTGAAATAAGTAATCCAAGGATTAGAAAGAAAATCAGGTACGTAATTATTTACGTGTGATGAGTTTTTAAACGACATAATATAAATGAAAATTTCATTTAATACAATCAAAATCGGTCGGCGGAATAGAATTGAATTTAAATCTTAAGTGTCAAGCTTGACACAATAACCTTAACATTAGATCTAAGTCCAAACTCATGGTACCACGATTTCGTTTAACCAAGGTAAACGACTCTTTTATGGCGAACTGTATACAATAAGATTCCAGAGCATAATTAAGATTATCATTACCTAAGTTTAAAAACTACGTTAAAAATATTTTGACTGAACAGTTGACTGAACATATTCCAAATTGAAGACTACGTGTTAGATAAAGATGTATGGACAGACGACATGGCTCTACATTACAGATAGCATTTAAGTTTCTCGTTCTTCCCATTTTGACATTTTCAAGTGTAAATTCACAGACCAAATCAATACTAGTAAAATTTATTTTACCTATGGAATAAATGATTGTTTGATATAATTGTCTTTTTGCATCACTCACATTGTTCATTAATAAAAATGTGTGGATAAAAATTGTGCACATGCAATGGTCTGTCATTATTATCTCAGAATATCAGAGTCAATATTATTGTCTATAGATACACAAACAACATAACATTTGATGTCATTGTCCTGAACTACCTCTATCTACTCCAATCACTGATCATGTACAGGAGATAGTGTGGGAGATAGGGAATGTGTAAGTATATAACACTTACCTCAAAATAAAGGCACAGTCCCCTGACGTAGATTGCCTCGGCGTCGAAACTGTCAAACCTCAAAGAATCGTTCGCAATTTCCTGTGCCTCCTGGCACCGCCCAAGCATGGCCAAACATTCGGCTTTTGTAAGCTTCGCTCTGTAATACGTACATAAGATTTTAAGAATTAATCTCAGGAAGTGGTATCGAATTTCTACTTTATCTCATAAAGATATGATATATGTACATATAATGTAATAAGACACGGTGGAAAAGTACTTTTTTTTAAATACTTAAAATATTGTAGGGTATTTACTGCATTCAAAGTCTTTCAAAAAGTCGCTTGCCTCGTTATGAAATTAGCCGACCGTAAGTGAAAATAAAAATCCTGTATTTTGAAGTTGACGATCGAAATTATTATTAATTATTATAATTATAAGTATTAATTCCTTATAAATAACATAATATCTTAATTCAAAGGAACACCACTTCATTATACGATTTATTCAAAAAGAAACTAATTGGAAACTGCTAATGCATCTACAGTATTTGCAATGAATTAACCAAATGTTCAAAATGTGATTCCTCTTCTTCTATGCAAATTAGTTCGCTACCTGTAGATTTTCTTGTCATGTTGGATACATTCCTTAAAAATAATAATATGTTTCAATTCCATTTTTAACCGACTTCAGAAAAAGGGAAGAGGTTCTCAATTCGACTGTATGTTTTTTTATGTATGTGACGCGATAACTCAACATTTATGAGCCGATTTTGATGACTCCTTTTTTGTAGGAAAGAGGGTGAGTGAAGTGAATGAGCGAGTTAATTCTCCTGACCGTTTTCGGCTACAGCAACTGCTTCAGCTCCGCTGTTGCTGGCGATCGTGCACTCTCACGAGCCTCACGTACCCAATCTTATTAGTAAAGATCCGTGAGCACAACGTCAATGTAGTGGTCGCCGCAGTTGGACGGGCTTGCAGCTCGTCACGTCTGACGTCCAACTCAGTTCGTCAACGGTTCTCAAATTGGGATCTTTTGTTTGCCACAAAAGATCTCCATTGCGGGCGATCGGCTGCCTGTTTCTCCCACTCTGTTGGGGCAATGTCGCAATTTTTCATGTTTCGCTTAAGCACACCTTTATATCTAAGGAGTTGTCCGCCATGTTTTGGTTCGTCCCTCTTGAGTTCCGAATAAAAGATGCGCTTTGCCACTCGCCCCTCTGCCATCCTTAATATATGGCCGCCAACGAAGTTGTCGCCGCATAAGATATATCTCGATTCCACTTACTTTAGCTCTTCGCTAAACTTCGGTGTTCCACACGCGGTCGGACCAGCTGTTCAGAAGACATTTCAGGTAAAATTGGTCTAAAGTGCAGATATGGCGATATCCAAAGAGGGTACCTCAGGAGTAGTCTCATTTAAATTTGAAGAAAATGTTCCACATCTAAGGGTAGCAAACTATAATAAATGAATAACTTTTGAGGTCGGTTTTTTAGTACGCTGTATTGAGATTATTAAATCGTCCACATTGTCAAATTGTTTCTTGTACAATATTTTTATTTTACGTATCCCCAAAAACAGAAATGTAATGGTTTCAGAAGGTCTAAGGTCGTAAGTATTACACATGCCAGTTTTACTATAAAAGTAATGTCAAAATTCGATAAGATAGCTGTCAAATGGGCTTCGTTGTCACGCAGTATCGTATTTCGTGGTATACCTCCAGGTCTCGGCGTCTCGCTGGCCATATAATCGGTCCATGTGTACCGATCCAGGAAGGAAAACAACAGCAAGGAGACTGTTCCTTGAGTGGGTATTTATTAATAAATAATCAAAGCTATCTATGAAATGATAAATCTAAATTTTTTGTCGGAGTGCACTGCTACTCCCAATGTGCGCCATTTCGCCCGGTCCTCAGCTCGTCGCATCCATCTGCTGCCGGCGGCTTTACGCTAATCGTCACTTTATCTGGTCAAAGAGCGTCCTACACTACATTTCCCGAGACGTGGTCGATGTCGATTGTTCAGGCCAGTACAGTTACTATTAAGAGTACAACACATTACAATGTATTTTCCTAAACTTTAATGTAACATTTCATGGATTTCTTTTTAGATTTTAATACAGTATGCCTTGCTTTCAAAAATAAAATAATGTCTCCATGAGGCAAAATATCCTATGTACAATATTTAAAGTACAGTCAACAGCACAACAAGGTATACATTTTTGTTCAGTATCGCCTCCAGTGCAAAGACACAAGATTCGTTAATGAATAACTTGATGCACTGGGTTTCCGTGTCCTATAGACGTGAGACGCCCTGTATAAGGAACCATATATTTAACATACCTTTTGTTAAAAATTGCAATAAAGACTTACGACATATTTGAAACGTGCGTCATACATTGATATTAAAAATTGAATCATTTTACCTGATATGATTTTCTTTTATTGCGTTCTTTATGTATTTCCCATGTTGAAACCAATACCGTAAGAAACAAAAATTCATTCTGTAATTATTAACTTGAACGTTATTGGTGCGATTTTACCCGGCGGCTTTGATGATAACGAAAATGTATAATGACATCCTGTTAAATTTTCATGGGTATACTTTGTGGATGCATTTGCGATTGGTGATAAAAAAAAAACCGAAACAATAGACTGTAACCTTAACCTTGTTCAAAGCTTGTCGAAATGTGGGTTTACATCAATCAACTTGTAACAATCCTTTATTTCCAAACCATTCACCCAGAACCCATAGACAGCCAAACAAATCTGCCATTAATATGAATGTGATTCATAGCCATTCGAACTATAAAGTTGTTATAATTATTAATACTAAGATTCACAATTAGAAAAAGTTCCTTGGATCTGGCTGGATTCGAACCAACGTCTTCCAGCAAACCGGGCTTACGCTATGCTAACTAAGCCACGGAATGAACTAACGAATTTCTTTATGTGCTTGGTGGAGATTTTAGTTTTTTTTTTATTAACGACTATTTTGCCGTAGCGCCATCCGAGATAAAACTATGTCTTCATAAAGATGTTGTTTACAACAGCGATGCTAGTTTCTTATTAGTATTAATTATTATAGCTTCTCGATATAAATAAAATTTCAAAGTACAAGTAGTTTTAGTATGTACTAAAAGAGATAAAAAGATAACGGGATATTCTAGAACAACTATAGTTGTGTTGAAAGGCAAATTATGTTTATTTCGTTTACGTCACATAATTACAAGATTTTACAATATTAAAGTAACCTACTCGTATTACAATGTACATGCACTTATTGATTACAAGATATTATTCACTGTTATAGCAGATTTAAGTGTTGTGTTGATTCTAAAGTCCACATTTCATAATGTAAGATTTATACAGCTGTCCAAGAACGAATCTTTAACAAGTAGTTTTTAAAAAGTCATCTAAAGGTGGCCAAAGTAAGAAGAACTTAGGCTGTTTTGTATGAAGGTCAGGTGTAAAAGAGATTATGTTAAAGTAATAAACACTTATTGTTAATAAATAGATAGGGTCCCAGACTGTAGGCAAAGCGTGGAGTTCCGCTGTGGGTAGTGCCACTGCTGCAAGCCGAACTAGGTTTTCGCTTAAGAGTTTGTTTAAACAAATATAGACAAAATTGCTAACGCCGGGCTATTTAATGACGATTTAAGTATAAGGAAATGTAAGTATTCTTCCGAATTTACATCGCCTATATTTGTTTTTTTTTAAACAAACCGACGTTTCGGGCCCTTTACAGGTCCCATGGTCACGGTTTATGTTGGTCACTCAACAACACTGTGTAACAATCACGAATACCTAAGAACTCGACTTAAGTATTTCCGATACACAATGGATGTCTTTACCATTGTAATAAAGTTTGTTTTCTTTAGATATTAATTGTATAGTTAATTTAGGCTATCAAGTGTCATCATTGGCATTGAATCTTAATTAAACAATAAACGAGTGACGCGACGAAGCGCCTTCTTCGTTGTAAATTTCGGCGCATTTGGAATAAATGAGACACTGATATTATATAGTTTTAATTACATATTATGCAAATTTGGAAAAATAATAATTATTATTACTATATTCTTTCTTTAGTAGAATTAACAACAGGAAAAGTAAAGAACTCAACTAGCTTCAAATAAATAAAATTCACAGGATGCGATTGCATCCTGTGAATTTTACCTGAATGAACAGGTAAATAATACATTTTATGCATTATTTATTATAATGTAGGTATTTACGTACCCTTTTTTACTCTGTAGGAGACCTTGCATTCATATATTGGTATCACATAGAAGTTTTGTTCTTACAAATTAATTACATGCAAATTTATACTTTGATAAACATAATGTTGATGATTCAATTCAAACAAAAATATAGAATAGTTTCATACTAACTTGGCGCTGGAAGGGCTGTAGTCCAGGCATCTATCCATACAGAAAACCACGCGTCGGTAATCTCCAGCTTCCATGGCGCGTTGTGCGTCCTCGTGCAAACGACGAAGGGACTCCAAAGCGCGGCGCTCACTCGTAGCACAGTCGGCACCGCCCAGCTCTGTCGCACGCTTAACTGCCTGCTCCCCACTCGGGAGATCACCTATATAAAATACACTTACATACACCATATACACTGCATGTATACCATAACTTAGTCTATAATATCAATTCATATAGACCAAAAAGTAATGAAATCCTCAAATAGTACTGGTATTCAATTGATACTAAATATTTGTTAAACACTACATTGGTAAAGTAGTACAAACTGGAAGATTGTAATGTTTGTGTTGTTAATTTATATTATGGTGTTATTGTACATATGCCATGACAAGTTGTAGGAATGGGCGTTACAAATCGTATATAGTTATTGAAACTATATATTGTGGCAATATCGTGTATCATAGAATCTATATATCGATATTGTTCCGCATCGCGTATTTTATAGCGATGCCGAATCAAGCCGAGCGATTACCGAGTGGATACCAACACGAAATCATATATTTTCCAAACTATATACCGATATTGCTTCGTATCAGATATTCTATAAGTGGATATCAACGCGAAACTATTTTTTGTGCGTCTTTAAAACTTTATACTAACATTGGCCCCCATTACTCTTGTAGAACTATATCCAATAATATATAGTTTCGAAATCTGATTCCGCAGATCACTAACGGCAATGTATCAACGCAGCGTGCACTCGGGCTGTATCCATGAATATATAGTTTCAGAAAATATATAGTTTCGAAATTCGATTTCGAATATTGATATATAGTTTCGATACGATATTCAGAAAAAGCTATTTTACCCATTCCTAACAAGTTGTCCATTTTTTTTTACTTTTAAGTGATGGGATGAACAAGTCATGCACCTGATGGTAAGCTACATGCCTATCTGTAACAGTTACAGTGCCATTCAGAGCATTAAATAGCAAAGATCTGAGGGGCGTTGCCACTGCGCTCGTCACCCTGAGACATAAGGTATGAAATCCCATGCCCTGTAATTTCACTAGCATCCTTACCCTTCAAAACTAGAATACAGTAATGCTGAATTCTACACATAGAACATACTTTTTGAATGGAATTGCTTGACTTGAGCTGTGTTTAGTCATTGGTTAGGTAGGCCTCTACTAGAATCAAAATATATAATTCTATGGCCCAGTATAACACCAGTCTGTCGTCAACGCGACACAACTTTATGATTACATAAGTTATGTATTATTTATATTATTTAAGTGTTTCTCTTTTGAATACACCAGCAGTAAAGAGCCATGGTACAGTTAGTACTCTCACTTAGGTATTCACTATTTGTATAGCACTTAGTACAAATAGTGGATATATAAGTGAAGGCACCGAATGTACATCGCGCGCCCGTGAGGAAAGCCACCATAAATCCATCAACAGATTTATATATTGAATTAAGTTACCTCTCCCTAAATAAGCTAGGTGTTTTTCATGGAATGATCAAAATTACCTACCTGTTAACCTAGCGCTATCATAAATATATCCAGCTATACATGTAGAAATGTGAATGCTGTCCACAATCTATCACATAGGTAGTAAAATAGATAGGACAAACTTTTGAGAGTAGTAGATAAGGGTGAAAAATTAATGAAAAATCATTCTAAGATCAGAGTTAGTATTAAAAATAGTATCACTACAAATACCTAAAGCAATGCAGCATTTAGCAATACGGATGTAACCCTTTGTGAATGCAGGGTCCAGAGCAACCGACTTCTGCGCGTCTTCCAAAGCCTTCTTATAGTTTCCCAGCATCATATAGCAGGCAGATCTATTGCCATAGTATGAAGCATTGTCTGGACAGAGCTTGATGGCTTCATCATACATGGTCAAGGCGCCCTTGTAGTTTTTGAATTTGTAAAGGTGGTTTCCATTTTCTTTTTTTTCTTCAGCTTGTCTGAAATTGATACAAGATAATAAATTACAGCCACCACTCGCAAAATAGGCAGTGACCCCGAGTTGCAGAAAATGGCACATTACTGGTGTAATGTACTGGCATCATTGCCATATCGATACAGGGGCCAAACTGTACATCAGAAATTCAGAATATAATGTCCTTGGATGTAGTTAAGCAAAAAGAATCCAATCTACAAAATTATCAAAAAAGAGCTATATGTACCAAATGGTTCTTAAAGTCTAACCTTTTAGATCAGCAAAAAACTCCAACATATAAACATAAATATATATCCCTGAAGTTACATGACGTTATAAGTTTTGAAAATAAAACAAGAGTGAGAAACATTTTTAAACTTCAAACTGCCATATCTCGAAAGTGACAGAATGTGTATTGGATCCTTTTTGTATAACTACATCCAATTCTATTTACATTTTGCAACCCATTCACTTTGTTTAAACTTCGAATGGGTTTCAGATTTGTACATTGATTCTGACTAATAAATTAATGAGCTGTACTGTTTTTATCCCATATTCATTTCACTGAGCATAAGTCTTCTCAATAGTTGATCCATCATATGGCACACTGGTTACATTGTTACAGCTATTACAGTCTACATTATGTTTTTAACTTCCATTTAATAACATTTGAAAATAATGCATGTTAATGACTCATTCATTAAGTCCCAACAAATTGAAAGCCTATCGAGAATTGTATAACATTAAACATTTTAAAAGCTAGATACCTAATGTGATATTTTTTAATATTCACATTAAACAAAACTGGAAATAAGAAATCAGGAAGTGGACTTTTGCGGTAAGTACTACTGCACACAATCATAAAAAAACTAAATAAGAAACCATAAAAATTACTCACAAAGCAAAAATCTACACAAACGCAAGGTAATGCTTATAGGTAGGTACACAACATTGAAACGTTTAGTAAACGCTTTCGCCTACACTAGATAAATAAGACAAGTCAATGGTTTCTACCCACACCTTTACTATAATAATAGCACTGGTTCTTTGGTGGATGCACTCCAACTAGGTCAAATGTCAAGGTACGCTTTTCATAGGTTTACCCAGCGGAGATCATGAAAATTCAATTACAAAATAGAATTGGGCAACCTCATGATAAATAACATTGTTCGACGCTAGTTTTATCTCAATTATAATGACATAAATAACAACAACATAGAAAAGTCGATACGGAAAACTAACAAAACCTACCTTTCAGGACTTTTAGGTACAAAATCATCAATAGTCAAATCCAAATCCACCACGTCTGAATCTGCCATTTTCGATTTTATTATTTATTCAGGTAATTTATAATCTGATAAATGTCTTTTAGTTTGGCGACGGATCCACAAAAGAGCGAGCAAAGACTGCGCCACAGACTGCGCAAAGAGCGAGTGCCAGAGAGTATATATACACATACATTTTTTTCCATCCTCTAGACAACATACAGCTTGGCAAAAAAGAGTACGACGCGGTGAAAACTGGAACTAAAAAAAGCTATTTGTGGCAACACTATTAAAAATGTCAGTGCTGTCAAATGGCCAGTAGTTTCTGTGTTATTGCAGTATGTGCTGAGTGATTTTATACGAAGTTCTGTAAATTCTCGAACGGTTGTTGCTTGTTTTGATATATAAAATGAACAAAACGATTCGTAGTAGTGGTACAGCAGTGATATACTAAGTATTTTTGCGATGTTTGGCTGAATCTCAAGCGGGACAAATTTTGTCTCAAATTAACAATGTTTATCAAAAAACAGCCAATATGACAGGTATTTATGCAAAAAATTACATTATTATTACATCCTACAAGTCGAATTACGCACTTTGCGCTATCTATAATATACAATTAACGAGTTTTTGTGTTTAGTTGACAAAAGAGTAACTAAGGTTATGTTTACGTATCATTTATAAGTTGACTTATATTTTTGATCCTTTCAAGACTTAAAATTTAAAAAAATTGGTGTTTTTGTATATTTGTGTATGTTTCATTATTATTATTATAAGTATTATTATTATTATTTTTTGTTATTTTAGGTAAATCTGTCAATACCATAAAAAAAACTGTTGAAGAAGGTGAAAAAAATAATGGCGTTTTTTCTACACCTGGTAAATATAGGAAAGGTCGACCCAAGAAAGATCTCGATGATTTCGACCTATGCGCAATTAGACAAAAGGTTCATTTCTTCTACACGGTAAAAAAGCAGGCATGTATTATATTTTATATTAACCCTTCAGCCAACGGAATTTCAACTGTCAAATTAATGACGGTTCATATTTCACACACCGCGCAACTCGCGCCGTAATTGATTTAGGTCGCTCTTCAGATAAATGCTCCTCAAATAATAACTACACCACTTAGCCTAGTTCTGTAAAAGGTATTGGCTTTCTAAATAATTTATCTATAAGAATGTGTAATGCAATGAAGCTAATATCATTATGCAGCCTTTTTCAATCATTTTTAGCTAAATTTGTACAGAAATCCAATGAAAATGCCAAAAATTGTTGCCGGTATTTGAGCTTGATAGCATTAAAACTACTACGAATTTAACAAAACCAATTATGTAAATAGCTTTATCATTCCTTAAATAACACAAAATATAGTAGTTATTACATAAAATAATGCATTTACTTTGATAAAATAAAGATTTCACAACGCACTGTTACCACAATGTTACTTCTCGCGAACGAAGTTTTACCACAGATTCGAACAGCTTTTTCTCCGTATTTTTTAAATGAACGAATGTTTTTTGGCTATGCAATGAACGAAACAGTTACTATACTTGTCTATTATCAAAAGTTGTTCAAACAAACGTAGACTCTATCTTTATTAAAAACCGGTTTATAATCGTCTGGGCGAGTGAACCCACCGGTGGCTTCGCGCGTCTGAGGACTTTTTCTTTCAAAATGGCGTGAACCCCCCGGTGGTTTCCTGCCGGCTTAGAGGTTAATGCCACATCCTTCAATAAAAAAACAGTATTATGTAATAAACAAAAACTTATTCTTTTTTTCTCAGGTGCATACACTACGAAATGTACCTGTAGTTAAAGAAGATCTGGGATTTAATGGAAGCTGTGAACATCTAAGAAAGATATTAAATTCTCTGGGCTTACTTACAAAAAATGTAAAACAGACAGATCGGCACTAATGGAGAAGCCTAATATAGCAGCAAAGAGGGAACAATATTTAAAAATTAAAATGCATAATAGAAATTTGCCTCAAGAACTCCAAAAACAGGTTATTTTCTTGGATGAGAGCTGCATACACTTATCTTACAAGCTTAAAAAATGTTGGCAATCAATTGAAATTAGTGGAGTGCGACACAATATATCTAAAGGCAAAAGATATATTATTGTGCATGCTGGGAGTGAAAAGGGGTTTGTTCCAAATGCACTATTAATTTTCAGTGGCACAAACAAGAATTAAGATTTTCATTCTGAAATGAATAGAGCAAATTTCAGTAAATGGGTTACCGAGAAATTAATTCCCAATTTGACAGAGCCTTCCATTATTGTTATGGACAATGCTTCTTACCATTCGGTAGTCATCAATAAGGCCTTAACCAGTGCAACAAAAGTTGCTGATGTAAAGCTATGGTTGCTACAAAACAACATACAATTTGATGAAATGATGTGTAAACCTGAATTGTTAATGATTGTAAAGCGCCACAAACCAGAGGCCGTTTATGAAATTGACCAAATTTTGGGGGATCATGGTCACACTGTGGTACGGCTTCAACCATATCATTGTGACCTCAATCCTATTGAATTGATATATGGGGAGTTGCAAAACATAAAATTGCCTCTGTCAATGTAGGGTCCATTGATATACAGGTAGGGATCTAGTTCATAATTCGTTTTTCTTAATGTTATTAAGTTGAACTCATAATCAATAATATTTTTATTCCGACACATGGCAGCTGAACAAGCATTCCAAGCGATTACTGCCGAAGATTGGAAAAATTCATGCCAACATGTTACTTTTCTCGGGTAGAATATCTCGATGAAAGTGTTTTGGAATCTGATTGATTTGAATTGTAAGTTTTCGCGAATGTTAGACGACGAAGACGACCAACACCTCATTCCGCCCCGTGACCATGAAGGATTCAGCCTTCGAAACGTCGAGAGTAAAATAAATCTAAAAAGTCGCGATATTATCCGAAAATTAGTTTTAAATTGTTATTTTGTTTTATTAAAATAAATTGTACAAACAATAAATGGTTTATTTTCCCATTTATCCTATTTATTTTACTATAATTATTAAACCTGCTCGAATCTCTAATCTCCAATTACTAAAATTATGCGAAGTATAACTAAAAAGAAACAAGTTGTAATTGCATTATTACTTATACAAATAATGCAAAGAAGATGAATAAAAAAAGGCGTAGATGATTTTGAGTTCATCCTATTTTGGAAAGAAGAGAAGAGTTTGGAGAATTTCATACGAGTCTGGCTAAGCTTCTGTCCACTTAGCGACCGCGCGGTTGTATTATTCAGAGGAATTTAAATGTTGTTGCCTAGTAAATAGAATTCGAATTCGCCTTTAAAGTACGTGAAAGCGTAAAAAAGTTTTCGCGTCGTGTGTCTGGGAGCTTTTAGCGCCCAGACACACAACTTTAACAATAAATAAAAATAACAAGTATCTAAACATTTTACGTCGTAGTATATCGGGTTGCCATATATTTGATTTAGGCGCCCTCATTAAATCCATACTCTTTTTTGCCAAGCTGTAAATTAACTTTAAACGAAATAAAATAAATTCTCTTAACAAAATTACTGTAATTTTTCTTAAAAGTTGCTCCATAAATTATCTTCGTTTATACAATGAATCACGTACAACAAATATTATATTTGGAGCTCATTTTCTTGTAAACAATTCATAATATTGGAACTAAATTGAACCTTTACTTGCAAATACAAAAAAATACAACGATTTTCAAACATTAGACTTTGTTGCAATTTTTTTTTTTTGTTGATCTTATTGTTTTAGACAAATTGTACAATTAAGCCATTATGTCATATAAAATAGTGTTTCGTTCCCATAGACTGATGTACCTTTCAGCGAAATAGGTATGTTTTATCTCATAAATTTGTGGTCATACGTTTGTTCTTTGCTAGAAATATTAGATACCTATGTATTTAGATGTAAGATAAATATAATGCAATGAAATGTTATGTTTTAATTTTAGTACATGATGCTAAATTAATTTTCTTTCAATGTACATATTTTGATGAGCAATCGGTACTTTTGTTGGGCAAGTGGCATATTTGGGTGTGAAAAAACTGCTTTTTTGGTAAGTGGTTAAATACTACCCTTGTAAAATTACCAGTCTATGCGTGTTGAGTTCGCGATCTTTTCTCCCACTTAGCCCCGTCCCCGGTATGAGGAAAAACGAAGTCAGCTATTGATAAACAAAGCCGAGCAGGTACTTCCACACCACAACTTACCACTCGGCACTAGTCATCTTTAAATATTAAATATAGGTCGAAACTTAATTTACTCACGTAGTTCACTAAGTAGTCTGTGATTTACTCATTGATTTTTTTTTTCAACATTAACCATAGTGTCACCAAACGCGCAACAAATAATTAAGTTGCTTAATTTTGTGAGGCAAAGAAAAAGGATTTTTTTTTGAAAGTTTGATTAATGTTGAATCTCATTAAAATAAAGAAACGATTTAAGGTCATCTAATTTTATAATATGCTTTACATTTTACATTCTGTTTACATTCACACCAGACGTAATAGATGATTACATTTTGAGTTTCTTAATTCTTTATTGTAATTATTTTTAAGCGATGTATTTGTAATAAATAATGAAAACTCAAGATGTGGGGAATTCGTGGGGAATATGAACTTTGTCCTCCCCAAATTTGGGGATTTTAACCATGATTTTTGGGGATTTTGAACATTGACATTGGCAACGCTGTTATTGACGTCATTTGTCAAATTGTCATTTGTCAATTTCTTGTCTTCGTTGGCGGGGGTTGTTGCGCTTTCGCGATAAAAATATGAAATCCAAACTAAAATAACTTGCTTTATATGCATTTCTATCAGTAATATATTCCATGTTACTAGCATTTATTCAAATGTATATAAGATGGAGGACAACGTGATGTCTGTAAGCGACGTTTTGCATAATAACGGTGAAAAAATAATTGAGTGGCAACCACTCGCATTGACTTTGGTCGAATACCCTAAAGGTAATTTTGTTTTTGTGCTAAGAAATTCTTTCTGTATTCAGCTTCTTGTTTAACTCACAGCTGTACCGATTTTTTTTCTTAAATTCCATATTTTTTGAATAATTTTCTTAATGTTTCAGGTGATTGGATAGGGAAGTTTTTTGCATTTATTAGCTTGTCTCCGTTCGGTATTGGAGCTGGATTCGTGGCTCTGATATTATTCCGACGGGATTTACACACTGTAAGTATTAAAAATAATATCTGTTGTAAAATAAATAAATAAAAAGCTCAAAACAAGTTCTTTCAACAATATGATATTGAGGAAATTCCTAAGCTGAGCATAAAATAACTGTTTGATATGTGCATCCTGCTCATCTTAACCTATGGTGCACGGACATGGTCGCTGACCAAGTTCCAGAAGTCAAAACTCAAGTTCTGCTAGAAGGCATTGGTATGCAGTATTCTGGGCTTTAAACGTATTGACCGAGTATGCTTTACAATGCTGCGTTGACTGGTATTGCTGATGTGGAGAGCAAAACAGTCAGGCTCAAATAGGATTGGGTGGGCCGCATTAGCCAGATGCAACCTGTGAAGTTAGTGAATATCATCACTCTTTGGGTGCCTGAGGATAGAAAGAGATGGCATGGATGGTTGAGAAGGTGTTGGTGGGACGATCTTGATGGATTTGAGAAAGAGTGGTGGGAGATCACCATAGACAGGGAGCAGTGGAGGATTTTGGGGGAAACATTTGCCCAGAAGTGGGACATAATTAAGAATAAATAAAAAACTAACTTGCTTCTGTTACTATGTTACAAGATTTTATATGGTTAAGGTTACCAGCAAAAGTGTAGAAATAAACCAGTTTCAAACTGGTTTATTTCGACATAACAATTAATAACATTTTGATTTTGCAGATTTCATTCTTCATGGGCATATTATTGAATGAAATTCTAAATATAATCCTAAAACACACAATATGTGAAGCGAGACCAATGGTGCGAGGGCATTTATACAATGAATATGGAATGCCATCATCACATGCTCAATTTGTTTGGTTTTTTAGCATTTATGTCTTTTACTTTGTTTTAATTAGGTATGTATAAATAAATTGATAATTTTATAGGTTAAATTATTGTAGAATAACAATTAAATATCAGTCAAGAAAGTTTACCCAGTATTATTGAATCATAACCTTGTAGCCTAATAAGTGTATATCATAAGATATATTTAGTGTTTCACTGTTGTTTAACAAATAAACCCAAAAGCATGGGTTTTGTTTAGGTAGAATTTGTTAGAGATTCTAGCCCACGGCACTGCAGGTTAATGCTTAATCTGCAGTGCAGTAAATAAAAAGCAGCCCTGGTAGATTTTTACTAGCTCAGTTTTGCTGTTTACTATTTTTTCAAATTCGGAAAAAAGACTTTTTGATAGTACTGCTGTATAACCACTTTTTTGTCAAAGCTTAACAGTAATAACTGGAAAGGTAGAATGTAAACTACCAGGCTGTCATTTACCTTCAGTTATTTGGTTGGATGCTGGCTGGCTGTAACTTAAACAGCATGTTTTTCTTAACCACTATTAAAGCAAGTGGTAATTCATAAACTAATCTGCAGTGGTTTTTCAAAGGATGCTAACAACTTGTTGCATTGTTTCAGACTACATCATATTAACAACAACAGCATAATATCAGCACTCTGGAGAATGATTATTGTAGGCGGTTGTCTTACACTGGCAGTGCTTGTAAGCATTGGCCGAGTGTACCTCAACTACCACACTACTTCTCAGGTTGTCATTGGGGCAGTAGTTGGGTTCTTATTTGCCACTTTATGGTTTACTCTGGTACATAGAGTGTTTACACCTCTGTTCCCACAGCTGGTGTCATTGTAAGTACTTGTGTATTATTTGCTTTAGCTGATATACTAATATTTTCATACTTATTTGAAGAACTTATAGTTTATTGCAACTGCCTCTGTGGTCAAATGGTTACCATGCTGATCTGTCTCGCAGGGGTCCCGGGTTCGATTCCCGGGCCGGGAGAAATATTTGTATTGCCTACATTTATTTCTCTCATGAGTTTGGGTGTAATTTGTGGTTGTTTATTTGTGTGTCCATGGCACCCTCGATGGAGCGTTTCCCTAGTGCGGGGTTATGAGTATCTACGTTATTATTATTTTTATTATTATTATTAACATGACGAATGTGAATAGTTTGGACTATATATTGGTTCCTTCCATACATTTACATGTACTACCACTAGTATGGACACCTTCTGGAGTTGATACACCAATTATTATGAATATAGTTAAAATTATGTTTCTTTGTATCTGTGGAGAAATTCAGTTTATGGATACCTCACAGAGGTCTACGACATTAGGATTAGAAACAATATGAATAGATCTAAGTAAATTATGTAAAAAAAAACATTTATTGAGGATTGCAGTCAAAAGTATAATGTCATAGAAAAAACAATGACATAGAAACATGAAAAGATATTTAAATTTGAATTACAAAGGAACGCACATACTAAAAAGGTTTGCTCTATTAAAAACATTTAACCTTCTTCAACACTCCTTAAATGAGCTAGTAGAGCCAGTCCCAACGCCTCCTTAAACCTGCATTCCTTTCAAACGTCTTTCATGCTTTTCACTGCTCATTCCTTTCGTTAACACATCTACAGACATCTCTTGTATTGACACATACTTCAAGCGTACCTTACCCATTCGCACCATTTCCCGAATGTAATGATGCCTCACGTCAATGTGTTTACTTCTCCGATGATGCATGGTATTTCCAGCAATTTGAATTGCAGACTGACTATCATTGAGTAGTTCGACAATTTCATTAATCCCAGTCAGCTCGGCTAGAAATGCAGTCAAAAATACTGCCTCCCTGCATCCTTCCGAAAGAGCCATTTACTCGGCTGCAGCACTGGAGAGTACTGTTGTTGTTTGCTTGCGAATTCCCTCATGCTATAGGACCTCCCCATCCTCCAAATATGAATACAAAACCAGTGTAAGATTTCCTATCACACACATCGCCTTCATGATCTGCATCCACGTTGCCAACAAGTTTTCTTCCCGTTTTCTTGAATGCCAGTCCGAGTTCTTTGGTTCCGTTTAAGTACCGAAGCACACGCTTTGCAGCGGTCGAATGTGTTTGATAGTAACAACTGTTAAACTGGCTTAAATAGCTGACTGCATACGCAATGTCCGGCTTCGAGCAGACAGCTAGGTAATTCAGTGAACCAATCAACTCTCTGTATGGCAGTTCACTTGGTAAAACGTAATTCTCATCTTCTGGTTTCACGAGGTCCAATCCAGTTTGAACAGGAGTCTTTACACTCTTGCAGTCACTCATCCCAAATTTCTTATGTATTTTCTCGAGATACTCCGATTGGTTGAGCTGTATGGAATTCCCCTGCTGTTTGATCTTCATTCCTAGAAAAACATCTACTTCACCTAAGTCTCTCATTTCGAATATAGTTTGAAGCTCCTTCTTAACTGATGTACTTTCTTTTTGATCATTTCAGAAAATTTATATATCATCCACATAAATTGCAATAAACATCATATTGTTTTGTTTCTTCCTTGTATAGACACAAGGTTCAATTTCGGATCTCTTGAAACCCATATCTAACGAAACTTTGTGTAATTTCTCATACCATTCTCTGGGAGTCTGCTTTAATCCGTAAAGAGACTTCTTCAATAGACAGACATGTCCTTCTTTACCAATTTCTTCGAAACCTTTACGCTGCTTCATATACACCTTCTCTTTTAAGTCTCCATTCATGAACGCAGTAACGACATCCACCTGATCAACAAGTCTATATTTGTACCGTATCTTCCCCGGCTCTTTTTTTATTCTAAAAATCCATTTAGAATCCACGAAGAAGCCATTTGCCTTTTCTACCAGATCTGGTTTTTCTTAATTGCATCGAGATCTTCTTGAATTGCTTTACGCCATTTATTTCTATCTGGTCTGGATAAAGCTTCGTCAGGTCGGATTCAGGTCAACCTTTCTGTTAGACCATGCTTCGTCAGGCGTCTTCCCTTTTACAGCACGTGTAGGACATCTGTTTGAGGTATTGACCGCTTCAGCCCAATATTTCTTGCTAAGTTTCGATTCTTCAAGCATGCTTCTAGCTCGTTCAAAAATTGAACGATTAGCTCGTTCACTTTCCCCCCTTTTTGTTGCGGTGTATACTCTATTGTCAGCTGATGAACAATACCATTATTCCGCAAAAAAGTATTTACGCGTTCATTGTCGTATTCTTTCCCCTTGTCTGTCCTAATTGCCTTTAGCTTTTTACCCATCTGATCTTAGAATAGACCTCACTTTTGTTCCGCAAAAAATAAACAAAAGTTTTTCTTGAATTATCGTCAATAAACATCAGGAAATACCTATACCCTGCAAATGAAGCAGTCTCCATAGCAGTCTCAGTAGCACGTGTACTCTATTGCTTCGGAAAAGGTAATGTAGTTTGCTTACCTTTCAAGCACGACACACACTGTACTGAATTTGATTCTCTTGTCACGTAGTAATTTCATATTGCCAAGTCCTAAACGTGCAAGTCTGCGGTGCCATAGTTTAACTGCATCATCAGTAGTTATTTTCAAACCTGAAAACAAGTCAGGATTAGAATTAGGTTTCACTACATAGATTCCTTTCTGTTCCTTACATACTAACTCAACCTTACCGCTCAGTTGACATTCACTCTAGTTTCGGCAAATAGACAGCTTCCTTCACATTCACGTTCAACTCATCCGAACAAATATCACCACGACCTTGTCCATTCATTCTGCTCCAATTCGCGCAGGATATTTGAACTGGCTCCTCCAACTTCACATAGTTATCTAGCCAATATCTCCTGTTAGTGATATGAAATGACGCTTCAGAATCTAATATCCACTCTTGCGAATCATTCTTACTGGTATGGAGTGCCGTATATGTGGTGTGCGCATGACAGTTATGCAGCTTCTTCGGGCAAAAACGAGCTTTATGTTCTTCTCCGCACACATAACATTCAATTTTATTTTTAGCTGTCGCTCTGGATTTCCCCACTCTGGGATTTTCCTTTGCTTTGTGGCTACTTCTCTTTTTTGTAGCACCTAAAGCATTCTGCGGCTCTGTGTCAGTTATTAAATTGACATCTATCTGCAGCAATTTTGTTTTACGTAATGAGTTGTCAACGTAATATTGCTGCTTTCTATCGCCATCCTCATTGGCTCATACTGATCTCCTAGCCCTTGTAGCATAAGTGCAGCCAATATCTCTTTGTCTACTTCTTTGCCCATATCAGCTAGCCGGTTGGCCAGCGACAGCATCTCGGTGACGTAGACTCGTGGGCTGTTATACAAGCTCAGCTTCTGACTAACAAGGCGTCCTAGCAGTCGACATCTGTTATTTGCTCCTTGATCTTCGAAGGCAGCCTTCAAAGCATTCCAATTTTCTTTAGCTGTATTTGCTTTCTTCACATGCACTATACAGTGTGGTTTCACCGTTAGGAGCATCTTAGCACGTACCTTCCTGCCAATCTTAAGACCCTCTGCAGTTGTTGGTATTTCCTCAATATAGTCCCAAAGATCTTTCATGACTAAGTAAAGCTCAGCTTGTACTTTCCACGTCGCATAGTTAGATACGCCGTCAAGTTTTTCGAAACTTTGCTGTAGTCCTCCCGCAACCTGGGACTTTCTACTGGGACTAATATTGTCTCCATCTCCGACAAGATTCATCTCGGTTATTTTTCTAGAAATGTTTTTCCAACCACGCTCTGCTACCATGTGGGTAAATCCAGAGTTTGTGGATACCTCACAGAGATCTAGGACATTCGGATTAGAAACAATATGAATAGATCTAAGTCAATTATGTATAAAAAAACACATTTATTGAGGACTGCAGTCAAAAGTATAATGTTATAGAAAAAACAATGACATAGAAACATGAAAAGATATTTAAATTTGAATTACAAAGGAATGCACATACTAAATAGGTTTGCTCTATTAAAAACATTTAACCTCCTTCAACAGTATCTTTAATTTTTGTAGCGAAGGCGCCATTCTGCTTTTGAGGTGCCAAACCTTAATTTGTTTGAAATTTTTATCCATATTGTACTCAGTTTTTTGTGACATACCTTATGTCTGGCATTAATTATAAAACTAAGCTACTTGTTATCTCGTATTGGCATTCATGATTTAAAAACATGTAATTTATTTTGTTTAATTTTGAAATTTGCTTTACTTGTTGTTAACTCATATGCTTAATTTTACAATGAAAATTGTTTTTAATTTCAGGAAATTCTGCGAAATGCTCATGCTCAGAGACACAACTCTAATACCAAATGTGTTGTGGTTCGAATACACGACATCGAGACAAGAAGCGCGCGCGCGCGGTCGCAAAATGGCAGCTCTGAAGCCGACGCAATGACGGTGCGCTTGCGCCGTCGGCCGGGCCCCGTGGCCCCGCGCGTGACGCATGGTCGCCGCCACGGCCATCGTGCTGTTAGGCGGCCTACTACTTTTACAAACACCACCAGCGCGGTCCGTACTCCCGTACTAGAAACCTAATCCTCCGAAACAGGGTGAATAGAAACTCGAACGTGAATAGAAAAAAGTGTTCAAGTGTATTTTTCTCATGTTTATTACCTGTAAAATTATGGCAATATTTTTGTTGCTATATTTTGTAAGGCATAGAGTTCTCACTAAGAATTATCTAGTTTTACATAATAAGACTGTTATCACTTGAATAGTTTCTACTCACCGCATTAGTTTCTATCATATCTGTTTCTGTAATACCATAAACTTATGGCAATAATTAGGATCACTTCCAAAAAGGACAAAAGTCCATGGAGCTGTTGTAGAATTGCAATAATTAGTCTTGTGAAATGATATGACATTCTCTACGTTGTTTTTATAACTAGGTCTAGATCAGTTAATAGTGAGTTTGCGACTATATTAATTGTGAAAGTCGTAAGTGCGGAATAGGAAAATCAATAATAAATTTAATTAAAATAGTATAGCTTGACGTAAAAAATTGTGTCAAAGTACCTTTCATGGTTTGGCGGTTGTGTATTAGTGTAATTGATTAGAGACCATATAACAAGCTAAATTATACTGGATTCACCTAATATAATGCATTATGCACTCGAAAAAATGTAAGCGTATCCGCGAGAGAGACATTGTAAAGTGCATTTATATCCCCAGGAAATAATATTCCAAGCATCATTAAAATTAAATATGTTTCAAGCGGCAAGCGCGCAATAATGTCGAACTTAGGAAGGCTAGAAGTATACTATGGCATGGAGTTCCATCCAATTAAGTCGAAAGTCATCTACAATTCTATGCAGAAATTGTTATTGTATATACGAATATAACAGTATAATATGCCCTGGAAAGTTATACGATATACTAGATAGTATATTTTAGAAAGTAATTTGAAATATTGGGTAATTATTAGAATTGTAATACTCTACATACTCGTCACAATTTATATTTAAAAATATTTTTTATTTTATTATCAGTTTATTGCGTCCAAGAATTCCGAGTAATCATTATTTGTCTTCTATTTCTTTGACTTCTAGTCCAGGTATTAACAAATTTATTTCTCATCATATTAATAAATTAACCATGGACATCGTTAAGATTGTTTAAATTTCGCTAAGGAGTAATTAATGATCATTAAACGTGTAATTATATTTATTTGCCACCATGTAAATTTTGTAATTGGGTAACCATAGCGTTACAAGACTATCAAATTCTGACTTTTCTGATTGGAGGATTTTATTACAAAATGTACTTTATTCTGATAATTTATGTACTCATTTATAATTTGTGTACATCGTCAACACACAGTACAGTAGTAGTATATGTAACAAATACCGTCTTTTCATGTACCATACAAAAAGTAGGCGGTCTTGTTAAGCTTAAATTTTGGTAGTAGTGCAGTATTTTTTAAGTCAGTTACTCGTAAGTCTAAAAGACAATGTATGTCGTTCCTTTGCCATATTAATCCTCAGAAGGAATTTGGTAGCGTATCGATGGCTAGAATCTGCGATATTGATGTTAGAATCACGCTCAAAAATCTCACAGAACTTTTGGAGTCCGCTTGAAGGGTATTTCAATGTAATACGTTATGAATTATATAATACTTCTCCGTATACGTTAACTTAATATCCAGTTTTCTTTGAGACATTATGAAGGCACCCTGTATAATAAAACTACCGTTGATCAAACTCGATCTTATCGGATTTTTTTGTCACGGACTTTCATTATACATACTTTTTTACAAACTAAATACACGTACAAACTTTTGTTTGATAGGGTATTTTTTAACGTGAGACGTATTTGCGTTTTTGTGTTTCTTCAACTTCGATTATATTTATATTTTGTAAATGTGTTTTTGTAAAAATTTCAATATATTTTTGGTAGCTATGTCGGGTTGACGGTGTTGGATATTCGCCCAAGTTTTTAATAATTCAATTTAATTGTAACAACGACTCAAAAATTGATGTAACAAATCAGATATAGCGCCAATATTGTAGGGTCCAAAATTAACATGTCGGCCTTTACAAGGGTAACAGCTATTAGAAGCTTAAATCACGAAAAAAAGATAAAAACTGATCGTTTTGGTCATGGTAAACACATTCAATAAACTTTTGACTATATAAACTTAATAGGTTAACTACTTTGAATGTTATGGCGTTTGTACATGATTACAGAAATAGTACTTTTAAATATAAATTTTACAGAGAAAAGCCGATATTCAGTGTCTGACCTCTACTGTATTTATTTTATCATTAATTTATGTCGTGCGTTCAAGAGCTCAAATTATAATCAGCTGCGAAATAATGATGTTACTATAAACAAGATTTTAAAGTTTAAAAAATAAACATAAGTTTCTGGACAACTAGTGGTCCATTGTGTTTTGTCAAAGGTTACACTGCCAAAACTCTGTCAATAATTCAAGTGTAAGGGCGCCTTCAAATTAGACGCTTGTAGAAGCGCGGCATTCGCGCGTTTGTAGCGCTTCAGTAATTTTTAGTTCACTAAAAGCGTCCGCCCATTTGGGCGTGTGTGGCGACCACTAAACGCGACTACAAGTGACGGATGAGATTTTACTTTTTTTTTATTGTAAAGGGGTTCGCGATATTGTTGCTTGAGTTGCTTTCTCAGAGGTCCGTAGCTGGAGAAGTTTAGAACCGCTGACTTAAGACACTTACCATTAATTAGGAAGAAAGAACGTCGCTAGCGCAGTAAGTTGAGATAATGGAGGTAATATTACGTATCAGGATTTTAAGTATACTTAATTTATTTGCAAATTGTTATTTTCGAAGTAATAAGTGCTTCCAGTAATTTTAATTTATTTTTAAGTTTGGTCTAATTCTTGTTTCAATTGTTTACTCGATGACTAGTTGGTACAGCTTATTAATATTATTCATGTCGTTGCCCTAAAATGTTGTCTAGTCAGTACATTTTGTCTTTCAACCAGACTGTGTACTTTAGTAAATTGTAATACACAAACAAAAGTCCAAAATCCATTACAAAGTTTTGTAACGGATTCCTAAAAATGTTTTTTCAAGATCATGTACACATGGTAAATGGTACAAGTTTTCATCCAGTTAGTGATATACATGTAGTATGTTTAAAGAAACAGTAGGATTAGGTTTACACTACTACTGCATACGTTGTCCTCTTCAGAAAAAAAAAAACAGTTCTAAAATCTTTGAAGAAGACCTGTGCGTACCACCTAGTGAGATGTAAATTTCCATGTTGAATGGTTTCTATAATCCTTGGCAGCTCGCCTCTATTACACCCGTCTTTACAAAAGGTTCCCACGCTATAATACAGAATTATAAAACCGCACACGTTTTTTGCGTAAATACGGTAACGCTATCATACGACAGCAACGTATACCTTAGTTTGGAGCACATGCCGCTTATGTTTTGTTGTATATTTACATGGAAACAAATTGCGACAATGGTTCTGCTTTGTGTAATTTACAGCCTCCAGTTTGGTGTGTTATTAACAAATAAATTTATATTTTTTCATTCGTAAATGTTCGAAGTTAGTAGTAGCTTTAGTAGTTATAGCTTTTTATAATACGGGGAGGTCACTATTATACGGTGATAACAACGTTATAAAATTAGTTATGCTTTGTTTCAGTAGCTCTGCTCAACAAATTAATTTTTGATAGAAAAGGTAATTTAGCAATGAAGTGTGAGCGTGGGTGTGTGCGTGTGTGCGTGCGCGCGCGCT